GGACTCATTAAATTTAACCTACCCATTAAACTGTCACCTCTGTGATAACTGATATAAGCATATAGACATATACTACGGCAGCTGAATACTCAGAGTGATGCTACTTTGTTTGCTCTGCTCCCCATTTCATCCACAGAGAGATGCATCTGTTCAGTGTGACAACTTAGGCAGACATTACTCATGTTTCCTGTCAACACTTTGGACGTACTCCAGTGGTTTTGTAGAGGGACATCATTTGTTTTCTCACCTCAGGCAATAAAATATATTCACAGTAGCCTAAAAAATGTATTAAATACTTCCTAAAATATTCTCAGCCCTTTCTTAAAAGGCCAGTCATTTATTTCTGTACAGTAACGATGTTGAGGAGTCAGTGGTGATGTGGTGTCCTAATGGAGGAGGAAGAGGAAGAAGGTGTTGTCGTTGGAGCAGAACAGGTTTAATCCCTCAAACGTTTATCCTGAAATTTATCCTTGTTTGTTCTGATGGATTAGAAACTGGTGACAGGCTAAGCTGTGACCTTTTTGCTGAAATGAATACAGTGGAGAAAATACATTAATCTGCCTTGACTTTCACTCATGTTGTTGCATTTCTCAAAGATCAGCGCAGATGCATGTCAAAGCCACACAAATGTTTGCACATACTGTACAAACACTGTGATTTATCCAGCTTGTTCCATTATTCCGAACGTTTTCACTGTCTTATCTTGATCGATTCAGAGTGGCAAGCTTAAATGCACACATATTCACTCTATTACCTCTGAAAAAGACATACAAGATAGGTAAAATAATTAGAATTCCCATTTAAAGTACACCAGGATGTTTAAAAAAGTCATTTACAATAACAGGAAAGCAAATAATTGGTGATGCTGACAGTTACATCTAAAACAAGACTGTTACTTGCTATGTACATATATTTAAAGGGCACATATTACACTCCTTTTCAACAAGTGTACGTAGGTTATAAAGGTCCCCAAAACATGTCTTTGAAGTTTCTTGCTTAAAATCCACTCTAATCCTGGATTCCAGCATGCCTATGAACCCCTCTGTTTCAGCCCTGCTCAAAAAAGGCTGTTTCTTTGTCTGTAGCTTTAAATGCAAATGAGCTGTGTCTGAGCACACCCATCTCTGGAAAGGGATATGGCTTAAGTTGAGCCTTTTGGGCCTTTTGGGCCGTCAGCGCCTCTAATGTTTATGGTGGCTGCATAGATATGGCTGGTATTAGAAGCACCTTAGTTAAACCATAGGAATTTTATTCAGAATCTGACCCAGACGGAGAGGCTCCTTCAGAGCTGCAGCAGGACATTTCTGAATGGTAAGTCACAAATTTTGTGTATCCTGACATTTTATTTTTAATTTGTTGATGTGTGTGTTGGTACACAAGTACTAACATGTAGCAATGTAGCTAATGCTAACTGTTACTGTCTCCGCTGCCTCGTCATTAATGGCAGCTTTTTTGGTAAATAAGCACTATTGTGGAGTGTAGTCATCGCTTACGCCTCCAGATGTACATTTAGGACGCATTCAAACTGGCGCTATTTGGTGCGCTTTAAACAAACCCTGGTCCACTTTCACAGATAGTTCAGTTCGTTTGGAGTGGTGTGAACGCTCATTTGAACTCTGGTGCGGACCAAATGAGTGAACCCTGGTCCACTTGAAAACTGGGGGTCTCGGTTCACTTGCAAGTCAACCCTGGTGCGGTTTGCTTACAGTGGGAAAGGGTTTTCTTCTTCCTCATGCTTTTTTTCTTCCTGGTCAGTTTAGGGCAATACTGCCCTCAAATGAGCAGCTGCTGTAACTGTGTGACGTTGTCCAGGTGGTTTGGTCCGCTTTAAAAAAAAAGTGCAGTGTGAAAGTGAACTAAACCAAATGAAAGTGTGAAATTTTTCGGCATTCCCCACCCAATCGAACCGTCCCCTGGACTATCCTGGTGTGAATGCGCCCTTACATTCTATGGAAATGTTTGTCATCTGAGGATTGCAACAGGTGTTAAAGGCCGAGACTACTAAGATATATTGATAGATGCTAACAACATAAATGATTTTTATTTTTGTAATTTTTTGCAATGTTTTCAGCAGAGATGCTTATCATTACAGCTTCCTTGAGTCATTTATTCTGCATATCACAATGAACTCAACCTGCTGTAATTCAGCATTAACACCTGTCAGCATTATTAATCTTTAGACAATTTTCAATAGATGAGGGAGAGAAAGCATACGCTAGGTTTTTGTATATTTTCATGAATATAATTTAATCCATGTCATTTACAGATTCTGTTTGAGGGCTCAGTGTCTCTGGACATAAAGCCCATTCACTTCCTTTCAGGCCGGACACTTCACCAAGGCTTCAACCATTCATTAAAACAATAGCTCACAGTTTATGCTTTAAAAACATAAACAAGCAGGCTTCATACAGACTGTCCCTGAGCTCTAACCCCTGAAATGCACAGCATTTCATGAATAAGAACATACGTTTCAATAAACATTCACATACATGTGAACAGAGTGAGAGACAGATGTACAGTGGTCCTGAGAGCTCAACACATACAAACAGGCACAACACAAGTAAACGAAGAAGCATCTTTAACAATTGATGACACACATGGAGAATTTAGAAAACACTCAGCAAGAATCTCACAACACAACAGAAACACTTTTTAGAGGACAGTAAAAAGTGATGCACATGGATGGGACACGCTGCCCTGCGTTCTGAGTCACATATTTTTTCCTTTAACTATCAGTATGTGCTGCAGCTGCCTTTACAGAGTACCTACTGATAAATGGAGTATGTATACAACTGATAAATACCACTTCACCACAACATTATGCCTTGAACTTTGACTCTCTAAGAAAAATGTGTGATTTGGAATACAGCAGAACATTACCTTGGAGATATAAAATGCCAATCTCAACACGCAGAGCTCTGCTGTTGTTACATTGCAAGGTACAGGATGTACTTTTACCTTGTAAGTAATAACTGCACACATTGTAGAATCACTGTAGAACAGGCAGTATTATTTATACAACAGTAAAATTACATGTGCAGTTCTGTGTGACGTATCTTACGCTCATAGACTGTGTAAGTAAAGGATGTAGCTTCCCTGGCATTACCTATTGGTTTGTGGATTACCGTTCTGAAGCCTCGTGTTTCGCACGGAGCAGGAAGTGATCAAATTTGGACGAGAGGGTGAAGCTGTGGAGGAGCAAGGGGTGGATCTAACTCAGACTGTGGTGACGCCTCAGCCGACAGCCGGTCAGTCAAGTGGTCCCACCCTTAAATATGCGTAACTTTGAGCCTTAATAAAATGTAAACGTGTAAGTTATAAAAAATTCACCCTTTGTACAGTTGTCATTAATGGGGAATTAGCTACAGAGACCCAAACTGTTTTTGTACCAGGCTGTAAAAATGTTTTTTGCTGCTGTACAGTTAGACATTTTAACATGGGGGTCTATGGGGGTTTGATCTGTTTTGGAGCCAGCCTCAAGTGGCCATTTGATGAATTGCAGTTTTTGGCACTTCCTCTGAGGTCACTGATTGCTTCCACTGCGCATAGTGCTGTAGGTCAGATTCGGAAAACTATGCTGCAAAAAATGCAAAATGCAACCAGATGCAGTACAACATCCTGGTATTTTTAGCATACTGCATTTTACCATAGACTGTATAGAAAGATGATCAACGCATATGGCGGCTCCCATCTTGGTCTGGTGATGTCATTCAGAGCCAGGGTCTGTGCAGTAGCAATCTTCGCAGTATCAAGTTACCCATCCACAAACCCATCCAACCAACTGCGAGCAGCAGCACTGAATGCGAGCCCACCGACTGGCTCACACAGTTGTTAGTCATGTTGTAAAATCCCTGTTTTATAGCATTAAATAACTAATTAGAACCAAACTTATCAGAAAAGCAAACAATTGAACATACAGCAGCGTGATAAAAACTACCTTAAAGGGATAGTGCACACAAAAATGAAAATTCAGCCATTATCTACTCACCCTCATGCCGAGGGACGCTCTGGTGAAGTTTTAGGGTCCTCACATCCCTTGCAGAGATCGGCAAGGGGAGCGGCTAGCACACCTAATGGCTGATGGCGCCCCAGACCAGGGGATGATTGAGATGTTTCAGCTATACTTTATGGGAGCTGTCATGTCGTCCATCTTTATAATATAAATCTTTTTCTGGCATACTAGTATGTTACCATGGGTCGCACAGTTGTTGTTGCCGTTGTTTGTGGCTTGTGAAGTTATTGAAGTTAGTAGTATTGGAAAATCACCTCAAATGTAGGGGTTTTTGGTTTTTGAGCTTAATTTAAGATTGTGATTGCTTGATTCAGATCTTCATCCATGACTGGATGGAGTGAGTAATGCTATGAAATGACCACACTACTTGTATTAGTCAGGCCTTTAAATAAATAAAAGAGAGCAAGTGTGTTTATTTATGGTTTAACTGAGTTAAACAAACAAACAAAGGTTTCTGCCCCTCATAAAGTAATGTGCAGTTTAATTTCCAACAAACAAATCCAGTTTTAACTCACTCAAGATGACAAGTTCAGGGACTGAAAATTGGAAAACAGAAGAGAGTCTATTTTGATTTCATAACGCTTTAACTGCCCACTGAAAATGACCACATTTACATGATGAACAACAGCAACACCTCAGTGTGTCTGTCCGTCCATCTGTCTCTGTCTCTACAGTAGCTATCATTCCATCTGACTGCCAAGCAAATTTTATGCAAACCTTTTGAAATGTCAGGAGGAACAAAAAAAATGAATTCAGAGTATTTTCAATCACCTTGGTGGGAACAAATAAATTGGCTTCCTGAATGTCAACAAACGCATCTGCATGAAAACCGGGTGAACTGAATAAGAAGTGTGAAAGTGGTTGTTGTTGCAGTTTAGTGTGACTTTAACCTCAAGACAAAAACAAAGAAACTCACACTTCAATGTGCTAATACACAAGCCAAATCCACAAACTTAAACCAGAGAGATAATATTTAACAAGTCACTGGTGGTTTGCATAAATTTCTTTTAAACCAGGAAATGACACATTTTAGCAACACAGAGGATAATTAAGTGGATTTTCCAGCTTTTAAATTCAACGCATAATTTGCAAAAAAACCCTTTGATGAAATCACATCTATTGTCTGCCTCTCTTATTCTCTGAGCCTCCCTCCATCGCTGCCTGCCGTTCCCTCTCCACATGTGTGTGACATTGAGTTGTGAACAATTCAACAGCAAAAAAAAAAAAAATTTCTGAGAAATGACAATAGCATTCACGCAGTAGGAGAAGAGGAGGTCACAGACTGTCAGCAGGAACACACGGAGGAAGCAGAGGAAGAAAGTCACATTGTTTATTGAGAAGTGGAGAACAATGCTTTTCTATAGCAAGAATGAAAAGTGCCATTTTCAGACTGAAATATAAATGGAAATATGTAAATATAGTGAGGGAAAGAGAGGAAGAGATGGTGGAAATAAAGCAGGAAATAACATACTTACTTCAACAATACATACATTTTACCTATATGTGAACTTGCGTCTTGAATAGCATAGCGTTAGTTCAGGCAGGACACAATGTCAAACTCAGCTCACATCCTAGCTACATCAGCTGATCTCAAACAGCCCAATCAACTGATGGAGCAGCTGATTGATAGAAGGGAGTCAGCTGATAGATCACATGATTCCTTTCTATGCAACCACTTACTTATCAATGTCATTTATGTTTGTCATTTATGCTGCTCTATTCTGTTCCCAGGAATCTTTGCTGCTGCTCTCCCTGCCTTAGGCTTGCCTTGTTTGCACGTATAAGGGTGGAGAGGTGTGCTCTCTCTGCCTTAGGCTTTCCTCGTAGGCCCTTGGAAAAGGCTTTCTGCATATTTATTAAAGAAAGCCAGAGGCCCCAGAACAGAGCCATACAGCCAAATATAATACTGCAAATGGAAATAAAGTTTTCTTTGACTGAAGTTCCTGACTGAACTAGATTTTTTTTTCACGGGGCCCTTGCGCAGATGGTATGCAAGGTGCTGGCCTCACCATCTGGAGCAATTTGAGGTTCTGCGTCTTACCCAGGAATATATGGACATGTGGACAGGAGGAACTATGGATCCAACCCTCAACCCCAGGGTTCATGGACAACCTGCCACGTTGAGCTGTTGATTTTGCAGTGGTGAAATATACATAAACAGTTATGCAATTTGTCAAATTATCAGCAACTATCAACAACTACTCAGCACACAGGAAGCTTCTTTAGCTTTTCCGTGCTTAATTTTAAGAAGGGTCCCCCCAGGTGAATAGGGTTACACTTTTAACTCATAGATATCACCATGACACTTCCCAAGCTGATCACTTACATTAAGATTTTTTTTTCATTACAAGATTTCTGAAATGTTTAGTTTCAATATACAAATGAGGCACCATTGAATTTCAGATGCCCTAATTTGCATACATTTCCAGAACAGATGTGAATATTGGATAAAGCCAGGTTCAAAATTACTGTTTCATTTTGCTGATGTACTGATGTGCTGATGTAAGTTCATATTTTTTTAAGTTTATATTAAGAAATTGTATGCTTAGCTATGCAAATTAGGCATTATCTGATTAAATATGCTTTTTTTTCATACATTTCCAGAACAGAAATCTAAACTGAAATAAACCTAAATGAAAAAAACCCACCATTCTGATCACAGGACAGCGTTGCTGATAGTCATCATAATGACTACCCTCCAGTCTCCCCGCAGATAGCCCCAGTGAGTACGCAGCTTGATTTTGAGCTGCAAAACCCATATACCACTGTTAACTATGTTTACATCACCAGCCGTGTTGACACTGCTAACTATGCTCACAGAGCTAATAACAATGCTGAAGTGGGTTTGCAGTTAAAAATTGATCCACTTTCTTAACAGGGTGACCTGGGGGGGGGGGCATAGGGCAGGCAAGATGTTTCCACAGCGATGCTGTTGGGTCGGGACACCGTTCCTAGTGGTTATCCCTGACCCAGTGGCACTGCTTGCTTGCTCCCACCAGACCTGGGTGGTGCACAGTCCACTAAACTGAAGAGTAGCAAAGTTAACCTATAGACTGACATGTATACCTGACAAAAAATATTCCCTGTGGTTAACCCGGACATCCTGAATCTCATTCCCAGGTCATTAAGTACAGATGACCTTGGGTTGGTAGTTGAACCAAACCACCAAAGCTTTGGTATTTGACAAACTGGGAATCAGACTCAACAATCAAATATGTTTCTCCAGAATTACATACTGTACCTTTAAATGAGCTTAAAATCATCAACAAAATGTCAAAATACAGTAAACTTCACTCTGTAAATAATGTACAACATTTGCTTTAGTTAAAAAAAAAAAGCACAAGCTGGCCAAAAACTCCACTTGTCTCCAGCTCTGTTTGTACCCTTGGTCGCTGAGTTCCTCCTCCTCTCTCATTTTTTCTCTTTGTGCTTCTTGAACAGGGCGTACAGGACCTTCAACGTGGCAGTGATGTCTTGGGACACAATATCTGTCACACAATCCACAGAAGACATTTAGTGCGTATTTATAATGCACCGTCAGCATCTACCCACTGAGGCAGTGAGAACACGAGGATGCTTTTACCGACATTAGCTAATAACTATTCTCACAATCCATCTCAACAGGTCATAGATCAGGAGGGCAAAAAACAACATTAGATGGAAATTTAATCAATACGTCCTTGGTGAGATGAGATCCCAGCAACATTGCTCTCTGTTGTGAGATGCACTAACTGAATGAATGTGGCATTAAGACTGACTCCACCACTGGCTAACCTAATTAATGCACGCTGCGTGCTCCCGTTTTAGACCCTCAGTGCTGGGACTCCTCATTCCATCACCGCAATTATGGCGGTAATTAAAAAGACACTAAAAATGAATTAAATTAGCCACTTGCTCCTGGCTTAGATTAATTGTACCGGTCCTTACATTAACAGTTATCGTGTTGAGGATTTACTTCACAATTACAGGCTGTATGGCTGGCAGGCAATATTTTGAAGTTCTGGTGACTGTGATTTGAGCTCAGGGAGAGAACAGGGCACATTGTCAAGAATGAATTTGCAGGGAAGTGAAGTAGATCCATCTGCTATTGATTGATACACACACTTAGACAAGTTGGTAACTCACTGAGTCACTCAATCCATTTCACTTTTCTCTTTTTCAATTCATCTACTCCATATGGGCAAAAGTGGACACAGCAAACTAGAGGGGCACTTAAAGAGCGCAGATATCCCCCAACGCCAAATGCCCTGTCTTGCAAAGTTAACAAAAGTGAAACATAATTACTCAACACATTCTCACTCTGACCTCGTCACATATCAGCATTTTTGTCATGGACTTTCTATGTCCAGATACAACGTGCAAGGTACTCTGGGAGCATTGGTTGTCAAGGCCCTCTTCACAGCTAGTGTTTGGCTTGTCCATTCTGGGCTACTGTAGAAACACTGAAGTGCAACATGGCCGACTCTGTGAAAGAGGGCCAGTTCCCTAAATATAAATAGCTAAATATAAATTTTAAGCTAAAGAAAATGCAACAATTCAGTTTCAGATGATTATAAACAAATGAAAACATTATTATGAATATTATGTTCCCCTAAATCCTACACACTACTCCTTTAAATCAACAACAATCTTCCATGGTAAAATATTTATCAGGCAAATAATTAGATTTATTACCTGAATTCCTTTGTTTTGTTGGCAGTCTGATACCTTTAGGGTTTCTTTTTTGGTACTCAGTCATTCTAGTCAAATAGCATAACTAATACTGAAAGTTTTCTCTGAAATAATCCTTTGATTCACCAAATGTAAGATCAGTATACCATGAACCAACACTCATGTTAATAAACCAAGGAGAAAGCTGAATTTTCAAACCATTTACATAATGTAATGCTTTCACCGTTGGGTGTTTATTTGGATGAATGCTCACACTTTAAAGTTCATGCCACAAATCATGAACTCGTGACGTTAAGGTGGAAAATCTGATAAGTGGCAGTTGCAAGATGAAACTGTCAAACACACGCACAGTTTTTACAGTGCACAGATACAATCATAATATTTCTGGGATCCGTCTGATTACTGGGTGGTATACAGTAGCAGTGCTCATGAATACAGATAACATATCTTCCTCCAGACACACACACACACACACACACACACACACACACACACACACACACAGCACAGCACATACAGCCACAGCAGTGAGGTTAAATCCCTGTGTCTATCAGCAGGCACCAGAGTGACATCGTCCCCTTGAGACCGTCTCCCTCGCTGCTCCTCTCTAAATGAATGATGATGACCTCGGACTTAGCCAATCATCCGCAGTGATACTCATCGAGACACAAGTCGCACTCATTCATATTCCGCAAGCAATTCCATCTTTCCCTCCTAAACACTGTCAAACCCACACTCCACCAAGCAGTGGAGATTAACTGAAACTACCGGGGTGACCCCCACCCCTGCCTTCCCCTGATGCAACAGATTTTGGCGTTTCCCCGTCACACAGATAAATGCTCTTGATAGTCGATATCATCTGAATTAGTTTGACATTGCTCGTCTTGGAGCTCTGCTGTTTTTCTCTTGCAATCATTGTGCTCACAGGCGCTTCTGCTTTTTTGTTTTTCATCCTCTGTGCCTGGCATTTTAATCTGAGTAAAATCTACTGTGAGTGTGTGTGGGTGTGTGTGTGTGTATTGTGTGTGTGTGTATTACGAGAGCAATTTCCTCACCTTGTGGCTCAACACTGGACATGTGAAGGCCCATGTCATTAAGGAGGTCCAAGGCCAAGGTCACATTCTGAATCTATAGGTCAAAGAAATTAAAAAAGTCGAACACAAAATCCAGACACCACATTTTCATTAAAATCATCAATAAAATTATAAAATTCTACTGTGAAATTTACCCACTAATATACCCACCAATATTCTTTAGTATACTGTGTAGTGATATCTTACAGTTGCTGTAGCTGCAGTATTTTTAGGTACTATAAAGACTTCCTGTTCAGTGGTGGAAAAAGTATTCAGATCAAATAAAAAGTCAATACAATAGTGTAGAAATACTCTGTTACAACTAAAAGTAGGCTACCCAAAGTAAAAATACTCATTATGCTGAATGGTTTACTTCAGAATAATGTATATTATGTTAGTGGGTTACAGTCGTTGATGTATTAAAGCTGGGGTAGGCAGTTTAATTTTGGCATCACTGGGCAAAAATCCCATAATAGGATGCTCCAGGGATGACGGTTTTCTGTAGGCTGGCGCAGAAGTTGGCATTGTACTGGTTCCCTCTGTGGCAAACAAATGTTTATGATACTTATATGGTTTATTCAGCAAGATAATCTTCACAAATAAATACCATTTTCATCATTATTGAAGCCTAAACGCGATCGCCAAAAGTAAAAAAAGGTAACGTAAGGCTATAAACAAACTACACTAAGGTCTTATGACCAGACTGACTGCTCGGCATGATAACTTTCTGTACCTCCATTTAGGCACTTGTTAGTAATGGCCTTTTTTAAGACACATAAAAGCCTCAAGGTTTATGCATGGGGTATTTACTGACGTATTTTAAGTCGTAGAACAAAACGTCTCTTCAGCTTGTGTTAACCACGGATCTTATTTCAGGCATCTAACCACAACCCATTCAAAGAACCCGTGGACTTTGAGAAGAGAGAACTGTGAGTGGTGAAATGCTAACTCATTTCCTGGTTGTATGACTCATTCCTGGCCCACTCTATAAACAAACTTTATTTTCATTTCAGAGAGATGGAGTTCATATTGGCTGTTCTACAGATGCAGATGAGCATGCACGTTCCTGTAGTGTAAGCCTTATTCAATGGTAGAGAGTGCTGCAGAGAAAGCTGCGATTCCAACATTAGCAGTAACTGCCTACACTGCAAAGCAACCCAAAAAAAGAAGACAAGAGAATCTAAAAGAATCTGACATTAAACACACACACAAAAAAAACGTAAATATCAGTAAGATGTTTCAGAAATGGCGACAAAATTATGCTAATAGTTCAACCTTCTGCTAACTGGAGGTAAAGGCTCATGGCTGTGGCCTCAGGTTTATGTTTATGTATCTAACGTAAAGCCTTAAATCACAGAGTGTCCTCCACCTCAGTCCCTGCTGCTACAGACCACCTCCCCGGGAGGACAGTGGGCAGCAACTCTAAAGACAGATCCCCAGTCAGCAACCACAGCTCCGGGAGACGGGACAGCCTCAGCTCCCCACTAGATGAGCTGACAGGTTAAACTTGGTGCTAGCAATCAGCCCACCATGACACCCTGTGCTGGCTGATTTCAAGCAGCTTTAGCTGATCAAAGGTCTGTCTCCTGAGCTACTGTCTTGTCTCCTCCCTGGGAAGCAGTCCACAGCAGTGGGGAGCAAAGCGGAGGGACTGCGGGGTGGCTAGCTCACTAATTCTTGTCTCATTTGTAGTCTGATAAACAGAGAGAGCGGGACAAGGCGGGGCTGAGAGAATGAGCTGTGTTTGACTATACAATGAAAAGGTCAAATTTTTTTTCTGGATTTCAACAAGCACAAAATTTGTGAAACATATGGAAACATATGGATGAGATGCAGCTATGTATATATGATTTATTATTAATATTCTGCATAGAAACTAAATATCAATGGATGGAAACACTGGGTCACTGTATAGCCTAAAGTGCGGACATATGCCTGTAGTCATCAGGTGAGAGGAGCTTAGGACATAAAGAGGCAAGCTGCAGGAGGAGGGTGTATTTTTAAATTCAGCTAATTGTTTTTGTTTTGTTTTTTGCCTTTTCCAGATTCCTGCCTACCCCAGCGTTAATGTACAAATCATTTTAATTACACTGTGCACATTTGTTGAATGTGAATGATTTTATGGCAGTCAAATTTAATATATGACTATAAAATGGTAAAACAATAACATCACACCTTAACTGAGACATTATAAGTCGTCATAAAGATGATTATAAAGCTGTATGAGACATAATCTACCATAACATATTTCGGATCAGGCCGTAATATAGTATAATGTGTTTATAGCCAGAGGCTTTTTAGTTTTCAAGGTGCCAAAAATACTTTCCATATGGAGTGTCACAGTGTCTTTTATACGCTAAGTTATTCATAAAGTCTTCATATCTGTGATAAAAGAGTCATAACTTTTTCATAGACTCGTCCTAATGCTTCAAGTAAAGTGAGATCAAAGATATCATTATAAGTGACACAGAAGTAATTATGCATCTACTTTTATTACGGGAACTGTAAAATATTAATTTTTATCATATCTTATATTGTAATAGGCACGTTTTTGGATCAGGTTTCAGTACTGTAGCTCATTATCCACTGTGCTCTTGTGGGAAATTAGATTAGCTCGAATAGGAAATGAAAACTGTGTTATGATCTTCCAGTAGAACTTCTGAATTAAAACAATGCAGCCTGTGTGTGTCTACATTTTCACAAAATATAAGGCAAAAATAAAATAAATCCTAATTGAAATTTGTAATTACGCTTTCAACTGGATGATTTTTAATAAATAAATATATTGCAAATGACACCCACATCCCCTGTGAGCATCTACAGGCAGAATGAAAAAGTCATCACCTGTCTGAGGGTTCACTTCTCTTACTAATGTGTCAGGAATCTGGACTGAATCTATACTGTACCATCTCTGAGTGATTGACAGGTGTCAGGTTGAAGTCGTAGAGCGGGATGAAGAATCCCTCCAGCTGTCCGATCAGCAGCAGCAGAATCACACCGTCAGCAAACTAGATGGAAAATATACATCTGACAGCCGGTCCAGGGAAGGTGATGTAATCTCAGGGGAAAGTAGCAGTGCTCCGCAACAGTGTTCAGATGTTGTTTTTACCTGTTTGTCCATATCAGCCACTTGCAGACCCATGGTCGACATATTCTGGTTGACAAAGTGTAGGATGGCCTAACAACAACAAAAAAACAGTTTGAAATATAAGTTGGTCTTATTTAACTGACATGTATGTACCAGTGCCAATACCAGTACTCTTTAAGTGACACTAACACCAACAGTGTGCTTCATTTGACACCCTTTTCTTTCCTTTATTTCATTCGATACCCCTCATTTTTATCAAAACATGACAAATGCTTGAGTTTGTCACCGTCAGAGGGATTATATACAGATTTACATATATTATATAAAAGACATGGCTGGACGGAAGTCACGGTGGTGCAGTGGTTATCATTGTCGCCTCACAGCAAGAAAGGTGGGGTTTCTAACCAGGGACCAGGAACAACAAGTCTGTGTGTGTGTGTGTGTGTGTGTGTGTGTGTGTGTGTGTGTGTGTTCTCCCCGTGTCAGCGTGGGTTTTCTCCGGGTCTTCCTCCCACAGTCCAAAGACATGCAGGTTATTTGGTGACTCTAAATTACTGTAGGTGTGAACATAAGCGTGATTGGTTGTCTTTATGTGTCAGCCTGTGATAGTCTGGTGACCTGTCCAGGGTGTATCCCACCTCTCGCCCAGTGTCAGCTGGGATAGGCACCAGCCCTCCCGCAACCCCTGACAGGAGAAGCGGTTACGGAAAATGAATGAATAATTGGCAAGGCAAGGAATAAGGTTGACAGAAAATAATTTGGCAACTTTTTTTTTTTATAAAATAATCAATTGCTGAAGTCATGAATAAGTTGTACATCTTTGGGTTTTGGACAAGCGGCAACAACCTGGGCTGAAAAATGAAGCAACAATTAAGTGCCAAAAAAACTGCAGTTCCTCTAATGGCCACTTGAGGCTGACTCCAACAGTGAGTCAATCCCCATAGACCTCCATGTCAACATGTCCAACTTTACAACAGAATTAAACAAGTTTATGGGGCATTGGTGGCTTAGTGGGTAGAGCAGGCGCCCCATGTACAAGGCTGTTGCCACAGCAGCCCAGGTTCGAATCCAGCCTGTGGCCCTTTGCTGCATGTTACCAAAAATATATCTTAAAAAAACAAGTTTACGGCCTGGTATGAAAAATGTTTTTGGTCTCTATAGCTAATTTCAACATTCCTGACAACTGTACAGGGGGTGAATTTTTATATAAGACACTCATTTACATTTTATTAAGGCTAAAAAGCGCATAACTAAGTGCAGGGTCACTTCAGTGACAGCCTATCTGTGGTGCATTGCTGACAGTCTATGAGTCAGATCCACCCCTCGCTCCTGCTCAACTCCACCCTTTCATCCAAATATAATCACTTCTGGCTTAAAAAAAACAAGATGGCAAAGGCCAAAATGCCAAACTCAAGGCTTCAAAAAGGGATTCCACAAACTACTGGGTGTCGTCACAGTAGCTATGTGCATTATTTTATACAGTCCATGGTTTTAGACTGATAGTTGAACAAAAAAGCATTATAATGGTACATACTTGGGCTTTGGGAACTTGTGACTGGCATCACCTTTTCATGACAGTGCCTTCCTCAAATCCTCAGGCAGGGCTTTGCTGGCTGTTCCTCAGCCTCGGCTCAAAACTTAAGGTTAAAGTGCCTTTGCGGTCCAGTCCCCTCAGCTCTGAAGCTCCCTGCCTGAGGGTCTGAAGCTTGCAGCATCAGTGACATCTTTTAAATCACTTCTTTAAACTTACCTGTTCAAAAAATTCTTTCATAAGTTTAAGCACACTTAAAAAAAAGTCATGTCATTATTGATATTTCTTTTTTTTTTATCTTTTCTATTCTTTTATTTTATTTTTTGTATTGTTTTAATTGATTTAATTTATTCGCCTCAGTAGAGTCTTCAGGGCAGGTAATTGCCAACATTGCTTTTCTGTTTCATTGTTGGTATTTATCTTCATTGCGCTTGTTCCCTTTTTTCAAATTTACTGTTTTACTTGCCTGATTTTATTCAACTAAATCCTGAAATGCTTTAAAACCTTTTTTTTTTTTTTAAGATTATTTTTTTGGGCTTTTTGCCTTTAATATACAGGACCGTGTGAAATGGGGAGACAGAGAGAGTGTGGGGCTGACATGCAGCAAAGGGTTGCAAGCCGGAGTCGAACTCGCAACCGCTGCAGCGAGGCATCACCTCTATACATGGGGCGCCAGCACTATCCACTAAGCTACCGACGCCCCTTTAAACCCTGGTTAAACCATGTAAAGCACATATATATAATAATCAGCAAATGAATCAATAATGAAAATGACTGTTGAAATAACCCTACTTTGAACGGACTTACTTATACTTTTAGCCATTTGCAAATATAACAAAACACCAGTAGAATACTTCTCTTCCATTTGATCATCTCAAGCATCTTCCTCATGTTTTTATGTAGATCACAAACAAATTATACTAATTTATTTCCTGTCTTAACACCATAACATTTGCTCTGTCACTGCCAGTGGAGTTGAGAGAGTTAACTCTTTAAGCTACCTCAGCACTTCTCCTCCTCTCTTTGTCATACCTTCTTCACTGTGCTGACCTTGTGAGCCTCAAGCTTCAGCAGTTGCTCAATGGGATCTTCCCCTGCGTGACCAGACAGCCAGAAAAGTGTGTTAAAGTCATTGTGGGCCGTGATGCTGCTTCGATGACATTCAAAATGTCAAATCGACTCAACCTCCGACAGCTTTTTACTCACTTTCAGTATTGCTGGGGGAGTCTGAGCCTGAGTCCCTGTTGAGGAAAACCAATAAATATGAGGTGTTTTCTCACATCCACAGAATCACACAGAGAAAAAAAAATCTGCTCACCCCTCCTCCGTCAGGATCTCCGTCTGTACCTCTGATCTGATTCCACTTCCAGTCACCTGCACGAACATTAACCGAGATTAAACAGCAGTTCCTCAAGGTGTGTTTAATACCAAGATTTTGGGGGAAACAAAGTGAACTCACTTCTATAACTACAACTTCAACCTTCACATTCGGTGGCAATTCGAGTTCAGGCTGGAAAGATCTCACCATGGCAACCAGCAGATGAATAGTGGCCAGAAGGTCTTTGTTGTGGATGACTGACAGGCGAACAGCAGAGAACAAAACACACACACATAAAACACAACTTGCACTGATACGACAGAACTCAGCACCTCCCAGTGCGACAGCGAACAAAGGCCAAAAGGATTGGAGTCTTCTATTAAATGAACACTTGAATGAAATGTAATTACAAATGAAAATTTTAAGTTCTAATCACTAAAATGTTCATGAAATTAAACCCTGTTTTTTATACTGTTTATCGGTGGCAATCTTTCAACAATCTATGTTGTAGTTTTCATTGTTAGTAGCGGAGTCCGAAGAGGTCAAAAGTCATAGTATTAAGTACTTAAATGGCACATTGTGAGACCAACAAGTTTACGCAACAAATAACTGAACAGACGACAAACACAATATGACAAAACAGTGCAGATTAAAATAGTTTAAGATGTTCACCTTAAAAATCAGAAGGTGTGCCAGAAATCCCCACTATGCGTAGTGGCGGAGTCCGCCAATCTGGGGGCTATTTTCAAATTACCTATACAATCGCCTACATCCCATATGCACAAGGGATTCACAGGAAATGAAGCAGCATGTAATTAGCCTCTTTTTAATTAGCATCACTGTTAACTACTCACTCTCCTACAACTGTATCAGAGCTGTAATAGATTATTAAACCAAACATTTCCTGCTGCTTCACAGTTAAGGTAAACTTTAGTGTTTTTCTACCTCCACTCTATTGTCCCATGTTTTTGTGTCTAACTAATAGAGGCAACAATTTTTGAAATAGGTCCAGTATTGAGAGAGAGTGCCGCAGCTGAGGAAGCGAAAAAGGCGGAATGTAAGCACTAAAGGTAATTGTGCACCGCCATTTCATGTCCGTTTAAAGTGCTTGTTTTGCCACTGACAGGCTCAGATTGTTATTTCAAGTGTCTGAAAACATTATGGAAAGGACCCTACAGAGAAATAAAATGTTTTTCCTTGCCTTCTGTTGGTGTGTTTGTTGTTGTGACGAACTCTTGCTCAACAAGTCTCATCCTGAAATCTCATGAGAGGTGACTCGTGGCAGGAAAAACAACTGTGGAAACGTTAGTGAAAGTTGGAGAGAGGGGTGCCAGGATGACTTAGTTGCATTGGAGTGCAGACAGCCTAGCATAGTGTTATGTACAACATTTTCAGTGTTGTGGCTAAATATTAAGCTGATTCTGACGATGTGGAAAAGTCCACAAGACTTTAGAGCGAGACTTCTCCTGTCAGACACTTATAATAACAAGCTGAGCCTGTCAGTGGCAAAACCAAACACTTGTAGTTAGGGGTACACTGACTGTGAAATTCTGAGCCGGTACCATTAAGGATGTTTAAAAAACACAGTGTGGCTGTAACTGCTTCAAAAGCCTTTTTACTGTGTGTAATGTATCAAAATTCACAGTCTAATTTATATTGCTGTAAAACAATAAACGCATTTCTCCTTTAAACAGCTGCATTTATTCCCGTTTTTTCATTATTATCATTAGAATATTATAATTGAACTTCGCCAAATACTCCTTTTTACTGAAGAGAGCTTGAATGCATCAAAATGTAACTCAGTGCAACCTCCATCAGTTGTAACCTCCAGCCATCGGCTGCTACTAACAGCTAGCATTAACTAGCTCTCCTCCTGCCGATGTCAACAAAGATTTCGCAATGTAGCATTATTTGAGAAAACATAGGGCACGTCCTCTTCTTCTGACAGCTGTTCGTCCCAGACACATATTTTTACTGTCCCACAGATGGCAGAACACTGCGAGTCTCGAGCCCTGCTTGTGCAAATTTGATGTGACACAACGGAAATCATCAGCCACTGCCATCGGTGAATGTCATCTTATTTGCTGAAAGGTCGATGGCAGTCAACAAGGCAAATATCTGCTGATACCAATGTGCGGTTGAGAAATTGGTGCCACCCTAGTTTAAGTGGATGTAAATTGATGGTGCACAGTTGCCCACAGGGATTACACTTATGTGGCTGTCTCGCTCTCTCTCGATACTGGACCAGGTACCAAAATAGTTGTGTCCATCAGTCACTTTGACACAAAACATGTGAAACAGGGTCCAGGTTAAAAGACACAGAGGTTTCCCTTTAAAAGCATTCAGTGGGTGAAATATGAGGTGTTATTTATCGTGAAGCAGTCGCAGTAAATAAAGTGTGTTTGTCAGAGGTTAGTGCTCAACACAATCAGTCATTTCTGACACTTTTTTAGTGGATCAAGTTACGTCCTTTCAGCTGTATGATTCATGAAGGGAAAGTTCAGATGAGTGACTGGAATCTACTTGAATTTCACAGTTAGGTTTTCAGTTTCTTCTAAACTTCTGATTATTATTGCGGCCTTTCTTTTCTTCTCTAACATAGCACGAGGACAAAAAAAGAATCCACTGACAGGTGATTAACACAGAACCCCGCCGTGTTTATCTCCACCAAAATCCCTCACAGTTGGTGTAAACTAACATGGCACCCTTGAGCTAGCACCAAATCCCGTTGTAATTCCGAGCCGTTGCCAGAACAGAACATTTGTTCTCTTGTTGCTCCGTTGCTGAAGCCCAGTCAGCTGCATGACTCACGTTTGACGTTCCACTTGATCTGGCTGCTGTCCTGCAGGCCCAGTCTACTATCCAACTCCTCCAGGATCACTTCCAGCTTGTGGATCTGAGCGGGGCTGGTCAGTGCTATATCCTCCACTGACACATGCACTCCAGCCAACCTTGCTGTAGAAATAAGGAAAATGTAATTATTATCAGTATAGTTTTATTGGCAAGGACTGTGTTATGGTTATCAAGACAACCAACTTTTAGGTGAACAAGGGGAAAACATTTGATAGTTTTCATCTTCACATTCAAAAACAGTACAACTGTAGAAATGTGTATTAACTCACACAGCAGGTGATGAAGCACCAGCCCATCGTACAGATCCTCCTCCAGACTCTGAACCACTATGTGCTCCGTTTTCAAAGTACTATTGATCCAATAAACCAGTGCCTACCAAAACACAATTCATCACACAGTCAGACACACCAAACACTTTCATCTTTTTGCATGCATTTTTTCCCCAAATATGCCAAGTGAAAAACAGCATGAAGCCTTGTTTTTTTAAAATTCTCTTCAGTTTTCAGAAATAATACAATTCCGAAGTAGATGGAAATGATGACAAATACAAAATACTCCCACCCAAAATAACTGATATTTTATTTGTTTGTCCTCCCAGCCCTACATACAAGACGTGTCAGGCTTATTGAGTTATTTATTCATTCACTGCCGCTCGCTTGAAACACTTGCACTGCCATCTTCCCCCAATCAAAACCTTGTTTTAAAGTCAGATCCAGCCGACTCTGCCGACAACTCCTCGCCGTGACTCTCTGATCTGTCTCCCATCACCTCTGATAATTATGCTCATTAAAATTTCACTGATCCTTCCACCTCTCTCCCTGCATCAGATATTATTCATGCTCTTCACTGCACAGATATACATGCAGGCGCAGTAATGTGTTTCCTGTGTAGTCAAGGATGGGTTTTGATGTAACAGTAAATATTAAATAGAAGACAGAGAGTCAGACAAAGCTCTATGCGTAGATAACAGGGAATATTCTCTTACCTCCTTTAGCTTCTCAAATTTGGGGTCTTTTAAAGATGTTGGCTGAATGAGCTTCCGCTTCCCTCCTATGTGAATATGTCAACAAAATGAATTAGTCAGATTGTATTGTTTCTTATTTTACAACCTTTTATATGCCATAATTCTGTGATTGATCATTCTCTGATCCTTTGTAGCACTTTGATTTATTTTTAATTATAAGGCAACACCTCTGTGTCACACAGCGGCCCAGTCGCCAGAGGAAAATGTTGGCATTGTATGTGCAAACCACGGACATGTTACACTTCCAGGTTTCATACGAATCATATCAACATTTCTAAAGTGACGTAGTATATGAGCCGACTTTGGCATCGGGAGGTGGAGGGAATAGCTGATGGCGTGTCATCTTGATGATGCCTGCCAAGCTGCAGACCACTGTTCAAGACCAACAAACAACAAAACTGGTTATGATTTAGCGACCCATTGTTGTATTTCCACTACGGAAAGTGCAGCGAAAAGCAGTTATATTTTTACTGAGACACTGCTTCTTTTCCAGCAAGGATTTTACCCTTGAAACTAGGTATTTTGAGCCAAAGCATTATCTTTCCCTAACCATGACCAAGTGTTTCTTGTGCCTAAAACTTACCACACATTAAACACAGTGTTGCTGAAATGTAAAGTTTCAACATTCCCACTACATAACGTGAAAATGTAACAAACCCTTGGTTTTCAGAAACATACAATGCCAATGTTTTTACTAGCCATGGGTTGTGCACAGACAATGCACACACATTCTGTATACTATTTTTGATTACATTCAAGACAGGATATTTTTGCTTCATTTCTGTACAGTGGGGGTAAGTGAAAAAGACGAATTATCCATCTTTAAATACAGTTAATGGTTTTCCAGGCACTTTTTTGCCTGATGCACTTTGCAGCTGTGTGTCTGTGACACATCTTGTGTGTCCTATCCTAAGTCTCAAACGTGTAATGTCATATCTAGTTTCTGGATTTGGGACAGAGTTATTCATGTTTACTGATGACTAAGACTAAGACTAATGTCCTTGACCATAGAAATAACACATAAGAAAATAGGCGTAGTTCCCCTTTAAAGAGACAGTTTAGATTTTTTGAAGTGGGGTTCTATGGGGTATGTATCTATAGTCAGTCTGCAGGACCCCAGCTTGGAGAGGCAGGCTGGAGACCAACATGGAAGCTAAGCAATGTACTGCTGTGGATGGGGGTAAGCAACAAAACATATTTTAGCCACCCAAAAAAGTCCCAACTAATAAAATCAATATAACCTGAAATGTGCACTATATTGAAAGCATTTTCAGCGCTTTATCTTTCCATCAGATAGCCTGTTCTGACAGGGAAGATGTTAACAGCTTCAGTTCTACATCCATGCTTTCGTCTACGCAACCAGACTCCATTGACAAAAACAATCATTTTAGCTTGCTGAACACGAGAGCTGCTGGTCTACTGCTGCTTTGATCAGTCAGTTAGTTTGTCTTATTGTGTAACTTTGGTGAATCCAAACTAAGCTTTTTAAATGCCAAAGTCACACAATAACACAAACAAATTAACTGATTGAGGCAGTGGGAAACCAGCAGCTCCTGTGTTCAGCAATGAGAGTGTTAACATGCACACTAAAAAACCGATCATTATCTGATTTCTGGAGTTACCTGATTATTCAAGTGGTCATGTAAACAGCATAATCCGATAGGCTTTATCAGATAAAAGCCATTATCTGATTATGAGAAATCAGATAAACACACCTAGCTTTTCCCCAATAGTCAGATTATTTGGTGCATGTATACCCTTTAATCTGGTTTCTTTCGAGTTTTGCTATTTTATACTCCCATTCCACTACATTTTAGAGGGAAATATTGTACTTTCTACTCCACTATGTTAATCTGACAGCTTTTGTTTCCTTTCAGATAAAGATTTTACATAAAATAATATATTTTTATATTCTCAGTGTTTAAATTGTCACTTTTATTTTATCTTACTTATATGTTATGCACTTTGTGTGACAAGTTTATATACAATACACTTGTATATTGCACTTTGCAGTACTTTTACTCTGAATCTACCCAAAGTATGTAAAATTGGCTCCACATTGATAAACTACACATTAGAATGCTTTCACATGTATTTGTTAATGATAAAAACAAACAGTACTGTAAGAATATAAACTGTCAGCATGATGAGTGCTTTATTTTGCAAATATATGACTTGCGTACTTTTCGAGGTTTTTCAAGGATATGAGTACCTACTGTAACAGGAAGTTTGAGTTTTATGTCATGTACTTGGGGAGAAATCCAACTGAAGGACTGACTCATGTAAACCAAGTTTTTCTGATTATCAGATTATTGAAGTGCATGTAAACGTGTCAAATCGGATTATTACCATTACCTGATTATTCCCAGTTATCTGATTATTGTGCGCATGTAACCGTGCTTACTGTTAAATCACTGTTTTTCTTAATGGAGTCTGGCTTAAAGAGGGCAATATAAAGGCTTCATTGTCCCATTGTAGATTAGAGTGTGACAGCAAGGTACAGCGGTGAAAATACTCTCAGTATAGTGTAAACGGTTTTTTTGTAGACTTTTTTTAGATGGTGAAAAAAGGTGACCCCTCCACAGCAGTAGAACGCATAGCCACCATGTCGTACTCCAGCCTGCTTCTCTAAACGGGGGGCGTGAAGCAGGCTGTCTATGGATGAAAACCTCATTCAACCCCACATCAAAAAACCTGACATATCCCGTTAAGATATACTTGAAAAACTGTGAACCTAAACATACACAAATCATGACTGACTGACTGAGGCTGAAAATGACGACAGGATATTTATCAGTTTACTGAATGCACACACATACCTTGAAAAGCCTCGATGTCCACAGTGTCTTCCTCTTTGTGATACTCAAAGACAGCAGCCTCCATTGCTTCTCCTCAAGGTGAGATATTCATCACCTGTCGGCAAACCCTGCAGAGAAGAAGAGCTTGAATATAAACCACAGAAGAATGATGAAAATACTCAACATCAACATGTTTGGCAGAAAGTCTCTCACTCTCAACAGGGGTTCAGGAAGTGTCCTTGACCATATTTGCTCAACTTTCAGCTGCTGCAGACCGGCAGTGGTAGATACTGAATGCTCCAGCAGGCAGCTTTCTGTTGCATGAAAATCTTGTACCTTCAAATTTCTGCTTTTCATGTACAAATAAAAACACAGTCTTGTGCTCAATGCATTCCTACAGCTGGGTTTTGAAAGGGTTTTCTTTCACGACTGAGGGTGTTAAGAAGTTTCCAAACACAACTGAAGCGGTCAAAAACTTGTCAGACTGAAATAGGAAGATGTTTAGTTTCCTCACTTCCTTTTTCTCCTTTTCAGTGGCACGCTCAACAGATCAAGTACTGTAGATTCCCCACAGATTTGCAGGGCTGCACCTCTTCCTCTGAATGTTTTTGAATCATATGGTCTGAGACAAAGCACAGCAAACACACTCTGACAAAACAGACGTGACCTGGAGCGTGTCAAACTGTTGTTTCCTGGATCTGGAGACGAGAAAAGCTACCGGCAAGAAAACTTTTCCTTTCCTGTGTGTTTAATGTGTGTGGGGCTTCCTTTTCCTGAGGTTGACAGTAACTTTCAAACAAGGTCATAAACAAAAAGTCTTTTTGCATGAGCTTACCTTCGGCACTCCTGAGAACGACTCGACAGAATCAGGTGACTTCGGCTGAATTGAGTTCTTTAACTGGTGTCAACTCCACAAACTGTCAAAACAGCGATATAAGAAGTGGAGAGGGCTGTACTCTATCTGAATACAGCCTCTTGTGAAGTCTATCTGCACGAAAGGTCTGACTGCACTCAATTTCAAACCGTTGCTTTAAAAGAAAATAACATGTCACAGGGTCGAAAGGGAAGATAAGCACAAACGAGAGGATGTGGCAGAGAAGAAGGTAGCACTTCCTCTTTTTGATACTGGCTTTGCACAGCGTTTTTCAGATAAGGGCGTTTATATTCTGTGTCACGAACTGCGTCTGAGACTTTAATACTGAGTATGTGTCGAGAGAAAAAGAAAACAGGGAAGACTCATGGGTGCAAATGTATTGTTTGGAAAGCCACACTTCGGGAGGGCCGAGAGAAACGTGACACTCAGAGGCCTGAACCACTCAGGCTTGACTCACACATCTCCATCTGTGACCGGATCAATTTGCTGTCGTCTGGTCTCCAGCCTTCTCCTGTCTCCAACAAACAAAACATTAAAAAAAAAGAAAGACAGAAAGAGATAGAGACAACACAACAAAAAGCTCTGCATGTGCACCAGCCTTTTTGGGAAAAAATAAGAAAGAAAAAAGGACCACCCATCAGCCAGACGAAGGGGCAGTTTTGGGGATGTGGAAGGTTACCATAGCAACAATGGAATGAGACAAGAAAATAAAGGTCTAAAATAAACCCATAATTCCTTTAGTTAAACCCAAATTGCAGGAATTGGCTGTTCCAAAGCCAATCTCGCTCAAAAGCCAAAGCGAATCTAACCTATCACACAAGTAAGAGGCAAAATGAAATTCTCATTCCTTTTTGATTCCAGGCGTTTATTTCTTGTTAGGCAAGATGAAAATAAATAAAAAAAACACACAGGGGTGAGACATCCAGCGCGAGTGCGGTTTAGATTGACTCATCCACTCTCAATAATTCAGCCCCGGCTCTGAAATGCATGAGTAGTCTGAACTGTGCATCTTAGCAGATCTTCAGGTGGCACTGCAGGGCCGTACTTCGCTACAGGAGAACAGTGTGAGGTCCACGGTCTCCGCTGAGACTCGTCTGAAAGGCCGAAGATACTCTGACTGGGCCTCTTCCGGGACGGACAGAGCACACTGTACTTAAGGCATCAGCTTATATGGCTTGAAATGTGGTGTGCATAGTTCAGAGTAAACGAGGCACAGAGAAGTTCCTTCAGCTGTCGAGATAAAGCAGTTGTAGTGAGAATAATATACAAAGCATTTTCATATCTCATATATAATATATAATAAACAGCTTTTTCAAGTTTCTTAAAGGAATAGCTTGGGGAAATATGCTTATTTACTTTCTTGTCAAGAGTTATGTCAGAAGATTGATGCCATGTACTATGAATCCATTAAATATGAAGCTACAGCTAGCTGTTGGTTAGCTTAGCTTAGCATAAAGATAGAAGCAGGGAGAAACAGCCCTGCTCTATAAAGACTAAATGCAACTACAAGTATTTGGTCTTGTGTTAAGACCAGAATCTGACTTTTTCGACACCTTTTCTGCTCTACAGGAAAATAGAAATGTATAATTTCTGTGAAAAATCTTTTTGCAGTAACTCCCAAACAGAGCTAAAAATGAAAATAGCTGCCTTCAAACTGAACTTGTGAGCTTGCGGATACAACATGGGAAGCCGTGTAGCCTGCACGATATGCTTGGTGTTAAAGTCGTGAGAGCACTGCTGCTAGGTAATGGCAACATGGATGCTGCTGTTGGCTCACAGACTTTAAAGTGTGTTGACATCACAGATTTTTTAATCACTTTTCTCAGCTTGAAGAAAATTTTACAAATATAAACCCTCCATGGATCAAAAATTCATAAGAGAAAGAGTCATAATTGACTATATCTGAACCACGGGCAAACACATCTTGTGAACTCGGAGCTTTCAGAAAATTTCCATTTACAAAGTTGTGACTATCCTAAGAGGGAAGCATTCACTTAGAACACAGTAAACACTACCCCATTTACAGGGAGAAAATGTCACAAGATAGCCAACTAAACAGAGAGGAAAGAGGGCTAACGTTATTTCATTTCAAAGCTAAAGGTACTAGCATAGCAGAGTAGCATTAACTGCTATCTCATCTTTTGACTCTAGACAGACCATGTGAATACCGCAATGGACACTTGAACGTGAACAAAGTACACACAATTTCATTTGAAAGGAAGAAAATGTTCATAAGACAACCAACTAAACAAAGAAGAAAGAGAGCTAATGTAAATCACTTCAAAGCTAGCTGGTAATATAGCCAGGGCTCACCTTAGCTATGATGTTACTTATTGTTTTTTCCTTCGTTGTTATTTGTAAGTGAAGGAAAAGCTATTTACTGTTTGTTTTCCACATTACTTAATGACCGAAATCCAGTCCAGTCATGATGGAGCAAGCTGAACTCTTGCTAACGGTACTAGCATAACAGAGTAGCATTAACTGCCATCTCAGCTTTTGACTCTAGATGGACTGCGTAAATACCACGAGAGGGGCGGTGTTCATGTCAACACAACGTTAACCCGGTAAACACAACACCATTTGAAGGGAGCAAATGTCACAAGATAGCCAGCTAAAGAAGAAAGAGAGCTAACGTTACATCATTTCAAAGCTAGCTGGTGATATAGCCATGGCTAGCTTTAGCTAAAACTAAAACTACATTTAGGCTAACGTCATTGTTTTTTCCTTCACTGTTATTTGTAAGTAAAAGAAATGCTGTTTACCATTTGTTTTCCCCATAACAAGCTAAACTCTTGCTAACGGTACTAGCATAACAGAGCATCAGCTTTTGACTCTAGAAAACTTTGTGTTCATTAAGCTTCACTTTCTACAGGGGCAGCCAATAATCTAAATAAGTTTTCTTTTCTACACAATATCGTTAAAATGACCAAGAAAGCTAAAATAACACATTTTGTTGGTTCCTTCTGTCACTATGTGATTAGTCTATAATCCAAAGGCAAAATGTGCACCATACTGTGATCTACATTTTCTAAGCAGTAGATTCAATTGCATAAAAATGGCATTTTGGGGGCATAAAATATGTACCACAATCTTTCTATCTGATAAGCAATTTGTTTGTTTATGTACTTTTCTCTTAAATGGACTAAAGCATAATGTTATGTTTGAGCCTTGCAGGTGTTGGTAGGCCGATTTTGTTATCTTCAGGGCCAGACCAAGCGGCTACCTCGGGCTGAAAAATGAAGGCAACATAAAAGCGCCGAAAGCCACAGCTTTTTTAATCACCTCTTTAGGCAGGCAGTCAGTCTCCATAGACACCCATATTAAAATGCCTAACTTAACAGGAGAAACATGTTTACAGCCTGGTACAAAAAAAAAAAAAAGTTTTGGTCTCTATAGCTAATTTCTCTCTTCATTACAACTGTACAGCGGGTTAATTTTTATATAACTCGTCCATTTACATTTTATTACAGTTTAAAGTAAACATAGTCACTTGTGGCTTCAAAGAAATCCAGATGGCGACGGCCAAAATGTCAAGTTAATGGCTTCAAAACAGGAGTCCACAAACCAATGCGTGATGTCACCCAGTCTATTAGCCAAACTAGCACTTTCCCCATTTGAAGTCTTAATGCTAAGCTAAGCTAATTGGCTGCTGGTTCCAACGTTATAGCTTAATATTTAGCATACATAACCATGACTGTGGTATCAATCTTCTCATCGAATTCTTGGCAAGAAAGCGAATATGTGTACTTCCTAAAACTATTCTTTTAATATTTACACAAATCAGTTTTAGATACTATAATATATAACAGCATTTCAAACTTTCTTAAATATTCTGCAGTGGGGAGTTAAACACACAAATGCTTTCCAGTTTTAACATTCTGCCCTCATTCATTTTTCTGTGACGGCTGTGTATTCAAATGCAGGCTAAAGGTCACAGGGTTTCCTGGGTTACATTTAACATTCAAGAAAGGAATAAATAAATACTGACATTTGGGGAAGATTAAATACTAACATTCAGAGCCTTTTTTCAGGCCTCTCCCCATGGGTCTTTTTAAATCCCTCATAATGATGTCTTTCAGTCCCAGTTGGTCTTCTCCAGTGTCCAGTGTGTAATGCATAATATCAGCGCAGGCACAGGGGCAGTGTTCAACAGTAATATCAGGGGGTAAAACTGGAAAAGTTCACTCAGAGTTTTTGTAGTTGGTGAAGAGGTTGTAGAGGACTCTGAGGGTGGACTTGAGGTTCAGATTGACAACATCTGGAAAAGAAAATGGAGACAGCAGGGATCATTAGAGATTGCTGAACTTGTTCTGAGGAGTTGCAGGAAGAAAAATCAGACCTTTGACACGCACAAAAACTAATGCATTAAGAGAAAAATTGGATCCTTGGAACACCGAAGCACAAAATAAATGGACTGTGCCACCATAAAATTATATTTACAATGCAAAGGAGCTTTTTCTGTGATTGCTGTTGGACTATTTATCTTCAAAAGGTCATTTGTAATTTTAGAAAATGAAATGGGGCTTAAAATAGCACCCAAGAATTTGCAAATGATTATCATATGATGTATTACATCTTACCGGGAGAGATTCAAAGGCACAAAAGTACTTTCTGTTCTGTTCATCTGATGTACTACACAAGTGCTTTATTGTAATTTCTCATCACAACTAGGTCTTTGTTAAGTGATTCAAGCAAGACACCATTTTGTTACAGTGGTGCCATATTGTATCACCATTTAAACTAGGATGCCTTAAGCTCCTTATCCTCTGCATTTCCCTGTTAGCTTGGATGACACCGTTGATATCATTAACTTTCATTTATAATGAACCTGCAGATGTGCATAAATAAACCTCAGCAAACCATATCCTAATCAGAGCTCATAAACTGATAGATAATAGCAATAATGTCCAAATACTGCATAAACTGTGATGTTTTTGGTAAGATATTTTTCCCCTTTTTGATTTAGTCAAGAAAAATGTTTGAAGAATAGAAAAGTATTTGCATTAATACAGTGTGGAGAGAAACAATATTTGCACATTTTGAAAGCTAGCTCATACTGATTCAAGATTCACTTATTTATTAATCACATACAAAACTGTGCAGTATAACACTTATAGTTTCAGTCTCCAAGGACTGTGCATAGTACAATCATAGTAAAATAGAACATATACAGACATGAAAAAACCCCCACTAATGTTGAAAGAGCAGTTTAAGCCAAAGGAAATAATTAAACAAAGAGCAAAAAACAAAAGTATGCACAATGCATTAAATAGTATAATGTGAGAAAATAATTTAAAAACTGGATATGGAATGTAGGGTATGAAATATGGAGAAATATGGGACAAGAATGTGGAGCGAGACATGAATATTTAAAGCAGCTCTGAGAATTACATAAGTACACACAAGACAGAATTATACTGTACAGTTAAATAAATATTCTTAAATATATCTTGTTTGAGCTGATAGTTATGGCTCTGACTTTACAGTTACCGTAGAGCATGTCAACAGTTCTATTAAAATCATATGACAACAAGAAATCTACTGTATTGTCGTTTCAGTGTCATCTTTAGTGACCACCAGCTAGTACCTGGTATTAATTTAAATGTTTCAGTGGCGTAGATACTGATTACATTTTTTCGTGATTAGTCAGCCGTGTAAGATCACACTGGAAGCAATTTCTGTAATATAGCATGTCTAACTCTACAGAGGGTGTGCAGAATATAATGGGCAAGTGGTGCCCCCAGGAATGTTTCATAGGGCTGGCCAGACGGGGCCACTGAAAGTCTTGGGGTGGCACACCAAAACAAAAGTGATAACTGAATTTTGGGAAGTCTTTAATGCTGTTGTAGTATATATATATTTACTCACTGACCTTAAAATCTTGAATTATTTGACAAGCATACATTTCTGCAGGCTGTTCTCATGCACTACTCGCACATGTACATACGAAAAGTAATGCACCAAAATACATATATAAGCCACGTAATCTTAAAGGTGGGCGGCACAGTGGTTTAGTGGTTAGCATTGTTGCCTCACAGCAAAATGCCCCTGGTTTGAACCCAGGGAGGGGGAGCCCCCCTTTGCAGAATTTGCATGTTCTCCGCGTGTCAACATGGGTTTTCTCCGGGTACTCCGGCTTCCTCCCACAGTCCAAAGACATGCAGGTTAATCGGTGACTCTAAACTGGCTGTAGGTGTGAATGTGAGCATGAATGGTTGTCTGTCTCTGCCCTGTGATAGTCTGGTGACCTGTCCAGGGTGTACCCCGCCTCTCGCCAAATGTCAGCTGTGAACTGGAGTAAAGAAGAAAGTTTGTCTAAAGAGGCAGGTTGTCGTGGTTGGGTCAAAAAAATACAGGACTTTCCCCCAGGAGACTGGTAACTGTGTCCCGTGTGAAACTAAGTGAACTTTTACTTTAAGGTACATTGTCACCATGTTTTATTTTCCTAAACCTAACCTATGTAACTGAAGTACGTAGTGTGACAACGCCCAATAGTGTTTCTTTTCCTTAACCTAACCTACATAACTTTATGTTAAGTACGCAACATGACGATGCCATTCGTGGGGCTCTAATCATATGAATTTGATGTATGATGTATGAGGACATGTTGACTTAGGATGTACTATTGTGTGTAGTTTTGTATTTTGTATTGTATTGTTTTAAAGATAACACTGTAGTAAGTTTTAACGTTGTATTGTTTGTTGTGCTGTCTCTTTGGTTTCACAGAAGTTTGTTTTGAACTGCTAAGGGACTACAGATGCAAATTAGCCTTAAGCCGTGGTTCCCAACTGGTAAGTCGCTGTCCAAAAGTGGGTTGCGGGTGACACAAAAACGTGAAAAAACACTTTATTTTTAACTACAGGGAATTTTCCGGCACAGAGCTTTAATTTTGAGGTGCCGTTTCTTGCTGTGGAGTCAGTGACTAAAGGACAGCTACTTGAGAGACACAGCAAACTAGCTCGATGGCATGGCCAAATGCAAGTATGATGCTGAATATTTTAAACTGTGTGGACCTTGAATTAATGACTAAGGAGAAATCTGGACCCTGTAGTGGGACCAGTTGGGAACCACTGGCTTAAAGCATTAATCTGGTACCATGCATCAAACGGTGATGTTTAAATTTTAATCTGTGCATGCTTCCTTTTAAATAAAATAAATACATAGACATAGGCCAGTTGAAAACTACGGCAATATGAAGGTTAAGGAATCCTACTGATATATTTTGGTTTCTTATTTTCCAGTTAAATCCTATTAATTATCTGATATGTGTAGGCTACTACCAGTACGTTTAAACAATTTGAGTTCCACAACAATCGTGTTTTAATATGTTACATATCTGTATCTATATGTGTTAGGTGATTCATTGTTCTTCAAATAGGCTAGTTGTTCATTTGTCCTAAAAAAGACAAATGTGCTGCTTTAATTTAGCCATAAAGCCATAAAACCTTTACTGGGAACAAGCCTTTTCAAGTTTAAAAACACCATACAGAGGCTTCAAATTATTTTTGTGAGGAGGGGGGGTAGTTGCATCCCTCGATGGCACCTCTGATAATGGGTTACCAAAATGCAAGTCTCTGTGATTAACAGAGAAAACTGCTTAATGGTGAATTAATCATAAAAGCAACAACCATTAGAAGCCAGTGAGTCATATTTTGACTCTTTCAGTATATGTTGTATTATAGAACCTGGACAACAAAGCTGAAACTCAGCACCTATTGTCCTGTATTAGAGTTTGAGGGTGAGGCAAGGTCTCCATCTACTGGACTACTTTCACATGACTGCTGCTGCAGAACATGAACCATATAACACCCTTTTAAAATGTTCTCCTGTTAGAATCATAATCTCAGTCAGTCTCCATTAAATATCCTTTGGGAACATGTCTTTTATCTAATCGTGTAATAATGCAGTGTGTCTATAAAATACCTTCTGGTCTGGCTTTCGGTTTCTTCAGGCCTCCGTCCTGCATCAGCTCAAAGGCAAACGCCACATTATGGACCTGAGGGGACACAACAAGGACACTCAACATACTGATAAGGTAATTAAAAAAATCTTCTTAATTTAAACGACTTATTGAGGGTGTAATCACCTTCTGCTCAAAGCTCTCAGGGGTGAGAAAGAAGTTGTACAGAGGAACAAAGTAGTCTTCTAGCAGCCCCATCAACAGTATCAGGTACACACCATCAGCAAACTGCACGCACACACACACACACACACACACACACACACACACACACACACACACACACAAAATGAAACTTTACATAGCATTCAATATTAAACTGCATAATTAAGTCAGATTGAATGATACATATTTGGAAAATAAAATTGTGCAAATAGAGGGAATATGAGAGGATGGAAATATGTTACATAAAAACATCTAATGATAATTTTAATAATTGATTGAGACCCATCAGATCGCTCACCTGAGATTCAAGCTCAGTAACTTCCAGGTTCAGCTTGTTCAGGTGTTTGTTCACGAAGGTGATGAGAGACTGGAAACATCATCAGCAGACTACTATTAATTTTACAGACAATTAAAAATAATAATCATAATATTCTGAAGTGATTATACTATCCATTATTATGCAAAGAAAAGGTCTTGAGTACCGTTTTCACCACGTTGAGCTTGTCAGGTGCGTGATCCAATAAAGTGTCAAACGCGTCCCTCTCTATTGTAACAAAAAGAATAAAATCAAAGGTTATGAATACTTAAAGGAACAGTTTGACATTTTGGAAAATGTCAAATGTGTCAAAAAGATAAGACGATCAATACCACTCTCACATGTGCCCTACAAATATGTGTCTACAGGCAGTTATCCTCGCTTAGCATAATGACAGGGAACAGGTGGAAACAGATAGTCTGGCTCTGTCCAAAGGTTAAAAAAAACCCAGAGCACCTCTAAATCTCACTAATTAACATGTTATGTCTTAGTTATCTCTAACTACAGCCAGAGGCTATTAATTAATAGATGTTATAGTAGTAGTAGCAATCTTCTCATCTGACTCTCAGCAAGAAAGCGAACAGGACATTTCCAAAAAATGTTCACTTATTCCTTTAGAAACAATAAAAGTACAGGGACATTTCCATAATACTGTAACATGATATGTATCCAGGACTCACCGAACCGTCCCATCATCATTCTGAAAAACAAAAAAACAGAGAGACAACTTTAAACACTATTGAATAATACTTTAAAGGACCCTATATACATCATTAATGCTTAGGGGTCTAATGCAGGGGTCAGCAATCTATACTATAAGAAGAACCATTTTTAAATAAAAATTGAAGGTGACACAGACTGTTGCGTCTAAAATAAGCCTATCAACATTACTAACAGGTCTTAATGAGCATTCATAAATATGTTTTAGCACAACATAGCTGGTCAGCAGTGGGCTATTTATGAACATTTGGTAAGAATTGGTGGTGAAAGCAAATAAATCTGTCTCTGTTTTCCCCTGAGACTTTTACATTTTTGGATTTGGAGTCCATAGCTAGCCTCGCTGGGGAGATTCACAACTAGCCACCACTAGTGAGGTTCACTTAGACACGACCTCAACAACATTTAAAAGAAAAGGTGCCAGGTCATAGATGTAGTTGACAAAATTTTAACTGGAGAGGGGCGAAAGAACCACATGTGACTCCAGAGCACAGGTTGCCTATGCCTGAGGCCTGTACTATGAAGCAGGATTTGGAGTTAGAGAGGTAACTTCAGGGTTAACTCTGGGTTTTCAGCACTACAAAGCTGGTTCTCTTTTTGCTGGGATAAATCACCACAGCAACTTATGCTGAACAGCTAACCTGCTCCACAACAGGTTAACTTCAGAGTATCGGATCACAGCCTGTCAACACCGACCTCTGACCAATCAGATCACTCAAAAAAAAAGTATCCATGAACGAAACTCTGGAGTCTCAGGTAAAAGAAGGGAGCCACAGAGTCATTTAATATTTCCAGGGCTCTATTTCCACTGGTTTTAATACAGCGCTTCAAACAGAGAGATCATTTACAACACTAAACACATGATTTTAGCAGGATTTTAACTTGTGCAGTTTATTTTCGCCCACAGTGATAGCTGACAGTGCTGCTACTTTTACACTCTGATTGCATCCCTGCATGAGAACTAATAAACAGATAATAATTAATTAGTAAAATAATCTACACACTGTTAATTGGCTCCCTTTATTATAAATAAAACATTTCAGTCAGATAGACCTCATCAGTGATTATCTAGGCTACTTTTTCTCCCTTTACTTCAGTAGCAGAAACAGTCAGGCATCACTTAAAACAGTTCACGTAACATAGTCATCATCATCCAACTAAATAGCAAAAAATACTCTGTACTAATGTCACATATAGCTTAATGATACCTACACGTAATTTAAGTCTTGGCCAGTGGTGAATTTTTGGACAGTATTTTCAATATTTCTACATTTTCCATTATAAGATTACAAATTACATCGACATTTTACTTTCTCGCAGTCCCAAAACACTTTAAGTACCGTTTTATCTCAAATGATATGAAGCAGCCTACTTCATTCATGGTTCTGATGATGTCGCTCCCCTGCCTCTTTCACATGAACGTGCTCTTGGCTGGATAGAAAAGCCCAGAGAACTAGTTGATAACCAGCTTTGTAGTTACCCATACGTCCAGTGTTAGGGTTTGTCAAACAAGATATCGAGAAGATATGCTGGCTAAGTTGAACTGGCTTCGTAGTACAGTCTAGTATTTAGGATATAGTCACATCTAGTGGTGAGGTTGTAGAACTGAACTTCTCTTGTGTGCCAGGCATGTAGGAGAACTATGGTGGCTGACATGAAAGTGCAAAAAAAGCCTATAAAGACACATAGCTATAAATATAATGCAGCATTTCTGCCAATAGATACCCCTAAATCTTACACACTGGATTTTTAATACATTAAAACATTGATATAAAAAGAGGACGACTGTGGATACAGCTATGGAGTATCAGCTCTTACTCTGTGGTGCTCGTCAGCTCCTTGGTCACAAGAGCAGTCTGCAGGATTCCCTCTCGTTTCTGCTCAAACAAAAATCAAAATGCTTCAGTTACTACACGAGAAAATAACTAGAATTGATGAAATTACATGTACAGACAAGACAAAGAAAAATACTGAAAGATATCACAAATATTTAGCCATAAACTAACTGTCACTATAATGTGTTAGCTTCATTATATTATTGTTTTGGAAGAAAGCTTTTAAATTGTTTTATGGTTCCACTAAGAGAATTTCTACAAAGGAATGATTGTATTAAAATTATATTTGTGATTTTATACACATTATTGTTCAATTTTGATTTATAGGTATATTTTCTATTATCTTGATGTTTGTCTGTAACTCATTTTTATTGCTGCTAATCTTAAAAAGGAGTTTCTTAATCTCAGTGCAGGTTAAATAAAACTTAAATAAATAAATAAATACAGTTCAACACCTCTGTATCCATCCCTACATCATTGCACATAACGATAATGAATGCCAACCCTGTGTGAGCTTGATGAGCCACTTTACCTTGACGACCACCACCTGCACAGAAACATGCTCAGGCAGCCTGATGGGGGCCTGGAAGTGCATCGCGAGAGCCACCAGCAGGTAGACGATGGCCACCAGGTTCTTTGAATGAATAGCTGCATCAGTGAATCATAAGAGAGGAATGTCAGCGCTTTGCACACTGTGAGCTAACATAATGATGTGAACAATTTTCTGAAGATGAAAGGTAACAGTCTGTGATTTTTTTGTTCGAGAGACAGAATAAAAACTGGGAAAGCTGTGAATGAGCCATTAATGAGGCATGAATGAACCAACTGTGAGCTCCAGTGGGGAATCCTTCTGTTTGTAAAGCTTCTCAAATTCTGTACTTTCTATTTGTTATGCACATTAAAAGATTATGTGTTAAAGGGCCATTCCAGCAATTTTGCACAAGAAGCTCAGGTTGTGTAGTGTCTTCAGTGGCTGTGGAGGAGTTCTTAATAAGTTACATTATGGTCAATGTAGGCAGTATTTGGAAGCTAGACCCATATTAGGGGTCAGAAATATTTTAATCTGTCTCTTGTGAGTTCCCAAATTTCGCTGGAGTACCAGTTTAAAGGTCCAGTGTGTAAGATTTAGAGGGATCTATTGGCAGAAATATAATATAATATATTAACAGTGTTTTCTTTCGTGTGTAATCACCTGAAAATAAGAGTTGTTGGGTTTTCGTTAGCTTAGAATGAGCCGTTTTTATCTATATAGGGAATGTATCCTTGACTACAGAGATCACCTCGTTGCACCACCATATTTCTACAGTAGCCCAGAATGGACAAACCAAACACTGGCTCTAGATAGGGTCTTGAGGTTTTTACCAGGGCCATCAAAATAACGCGTTAATTTCGATTAATTAATCACAGAAAAAATAACATGTTAAAAAAATTGCTGGTGCCCTTTGACCCAGTGCGACAATGAAGGCCACAGTGGCTTTGTCACATGATGGAGGCAGATGGGACAACGCTGTTTGGTCCTGTGAATGGAACATTTACATTTAAAAAACATCCAGATGGAACTGTTGATAGCAGTACTGTACTCAGAGAAAAAAGGTGAGCACACATTAGCAGTTGTTGGGCTAACAGCTTGTCTCTGACGAGCCGAACTGCATTGGAGAAACACTGATTTGTAACGTGAAACTGCTTTATTCAGTGTTTTTACTGGTTTAAATCACCTGGTGCGTTTGTTTCAGAGAGGAAGAAACCTCTGTGGATAATTCAGCTCCCTGTAAAACCTTGAACCATGAACACCGAAGGAACTCTTATCACAGGAAGTTTCAGCTGGTTGCTATTTACATCCCTCACCACTAGATGCCACTAAATCCCACTAAATCTTACACATTGGACCTATAAGTAGCAAATCACTGGTGTCTATGTAAAACTTACAGTCCACACTCCACTCAATGGTCCAGCCGTGAGGCCTCAGCAGTTCGTTGACGGCCTCCAAAACCGTCTGAAGCTTTTGCTTTTGGCCGATCTCTGACTGAGTCACCTCGGCCACGTTCAGCTTCCTGCCTGACAGCTTCTCTGTCAACAGAAACAGCAGAGATAAGATATCAGCTCAAACACACAGGGAGAGACTTTCCATACACACAATCATGAAGCATTGTACTGTACTGAACAGGGGAACTGTAGCAAGAAATAGGAGGCTTGCTTCAGGCCTGTTGGGCTTAAAAAAAATGAGAGGAACTCGTGTACAGATTAGAAAAGGGAAGAAATCTAATTTAGGTCAACTGTTGAAAAAAAACATCATTTACAGGAAAGACAAAAGTTACAGAAAGACTTCAAATCCAAAAAGTGCACAACAAAAAAACATTTTTTCATGCCTGTATCATCGTGGGTTTTGTGCGTTGGATAACAAGGACATGGTGATCTTGACAATGTACAAATGTGACAACTGCAGACAACAAAAATTCTTTGCTGCACGCAATACCAAGAAAGAGGATTTATTTCTCATGTATGTGGGTTCAAATATTTATAAAAAAAAAGAAAAGAGAAAGCAACACGGATAAAAAAAAAAGAAAATCTAAAACAGGCACTGATGCAATAAAAGACCGAAAGTACAGACAGAGCAAAAGTGCTAAATGAGTGCGAAGAACTAAAAAGGGGTCTGAACAAAAATAAAGAAATCACACATCACTTAGCAAAGTGTTTCCTGCTGCGTGCTTTAGCTGTTGTTCAAGACACTTCAGCAACATAATGCAACCAACTGTAAGTCCTCTTTTGTATTAGTTGGCTTTTGTAAAATTAATTTGCTAGTTCAAAATGTTTTATTGTCGCACATGTTTGTCAGGCTGCAATAATTAGCTGGTGTTTACGACAATAAGTGGGAGCAAAGAAAGCAGTCAGTGTTGAGATAATGAGAGGAGCTGAGTTTTTCCTTTGATTACACACACACAAAAAACACAGAATTAAAGAATCTACATACGAGAAAAACATGTAAGAAATACATGAGATAATTAGAGCACAAGACAAAAACACAAAGTAACACAAAGTTCTGTAACCTACAGATACAAGTTCGACATATTACCACTTAAATAACTGTTACTATTGCAGTGTCACACATTACTTTATATTCAGTTGGCAGACACTTTTGTCTAAAGTACATGCTTGTGTCCAACCTACAGAGCATCGCAGCAGCCCCACACAGGTCAGGTTCACGCAGGGGCGTTTCTAGGACTGACATACATTTGGGGCTCAGCCCGAACCTCTGTCAGGGGGTCTAGGGCAGTGGTTCCCAACTGGTCCAGCCATGGCGTCTGAATTTCTCCTTAAGGGGGATTTGTACTTGTGCAGCAGACGCTACACTGTAGCCTACGCACGTTGCCTACACCGTTGAGAACATTTATACTTGTGCAGTGGTGTGTCTGTGTCACACCTCCAAAACACTAGTCAGCGGCGGAGGTTTCTGTGAAGTGTTGTAAAGTTTAGTTGATTTAAAACACACCCAAAACTGCCTTTTTTTTTAGTTTTTTTTGGCAGGGTGGGGAGGATTAAACACTCTGAGAGTGTTTTCAGCCTGCTGTAACAGAAAACAGACACAAGGGGGAAGCTCCTAACAGACCAAAGACACTGAAGCTTTCCTGGACTCAGCAGCACCTTAGTGAACACACATTTATCACAGTGGTCACTGGAGAAAACAATCACGTGCCAATATCAGCATTTTGAACTGTTATTAAATGAGTTGGATATATATGAACCAGCAACAGCTTTTCATTAAAACTCATTAATCTCTGAACTCTGAAAGAAATGCTGTGAGTGAATTGTGTTTACTTGTAGTCATTATCAAAGCAGGTTTTAATGCTAATTTCAAGATTATACCTTTAGGCAAGGTATTCACTGCTGCCACTGCATTACCGCCAGTACCCTTAATTAAGGCATGTCCTATATACAGCTGGCACAAAGGCACACAGAGAAATGAAATCATGCAAAATGAAGGACTGAATACTGCTCACTGTCTGCACTTAGTTTATTGAAAATTTGAGCTACAACAATCACTTGATTAATCAATCAGTTGTCAACTATTAAATCAATCGCTAACTCAATGGTAATCAAATTATCCAGTGGAGTATCTTTTTAAAAAATTCCCTGATTCCAGCTTCTTAACTGTGAACACTTTCTGTTTTTACTCCTCTATGACTGTAAACTGAATATCTTTGGGGATATGGTATTCACTGATCGACACTTTTCACTGTTTTCTGACATTTTGTAGACCAAACAACTAACGGATTAATCAAGGAAATTGACAGATTACTAATCAACACTGAATATAATTGTTAGTTGCAGCCTTTTTGAAAATGCAACATTTCTGTCATTTACCATTGTCAAGAGTCACATTCCAAATGCGTAAACAAAACTTTTTTATACTAGAGCAACAGACTGCAAATACAACTTTAAACTGCTGTAAAATGACTGAGGTGGCACGGTGATGCAGTGGTAAGCATTGTCACCTCACAGCAAGAGGGTTCCTGGCTTGAACCCTGGGGTGGGGGAGTCCCTTTGTGCGGAGTTTGCATGTTCTCCCTGTGTGAGTGTGGGTTTTCTCCAGGTACTCCAGCTTCCTTTCACAGTCCAAAGACATGCAGGTTAATTGGTGACTCTAAATTGTCCGCAGGTGTGAATGTGAATGTGAATGGTTGTCTGTCTCTATGTGTCAGCCCTGTGACAGTCTGGCGACCTGTTCAGGGTGTACCCCGCCTCTAGCCTGGTACCAGCTGAGATAGGCTCCAGCCTCCCTATGACCCCCAACAGCATATGTTTATGGAAAATGAATGAATAGCTAAATGATACTGCGAATTTTCATGGTGGTCAAAGCCAAGCTAAAGGCTTGCAGCGGCTTTATGGACAGAAAGATGTTGTGAGAGCTGTGATGCCAAAGAAACCAATTTCTCACCAAATAACTTCTGGAGCACTTGTCCATCGTAACAGTCCTCCTCCAGGTCTTTGACTATGATCCTGTCTTCCTCCAACTCACTGTTGATCCAGTCAATCAGGACCTGGACACAAAGACCTACAGTTAAACTCTCTCCTTCTATGCGTTGATTGTGCTGAAGAGGTGTGATGTTTGTGTGATCTCTGCCTACCTTCAGAAGATCTTTAAATTTAAGATTTTCCCGTGAAGTCGGGTCTAACATGATCCTCTCAGCATTTTCCTCTGATGACGATAATGTGAGAGAAATTAAAACAACCAGCATAGTTAACAGTAACACTAAAATATCCTGTTTCACTTTCTGCATATTTGTCTCCCCCACTAGATGCCGCCATGTTGTTAATCTCCCATAAATACAAATCTATAGCCACAAACACACATACAATGTTCTTATCACCCTCACGTCAACAATGATTCACACGGTGACTGAGGGCAGAGGCGTCTCCCCTCCACCCACTTTCATTTCCTGCTCCTCCACTGTCAAAGTCCCCATTACTCAACATGTGTCAACACATTCATAGTGTCCTCCGTGGCCTCAGAAACCTCTAACAGTGGGCTGCAGATGTTTTAAGATGTTGATCATACTGGAAATGCAACTGTAGGATCAACAAGGCTGCGACCTCAAGTCATGAATTAATGTTGAGATGTTGTTGAGATGTGCATATGTTTGATTATATACCCAGCAGTGTGTCCTCTGGGTGGATGTCTGTCCCTGTGGGAAGCATGGGAGCGTTGATGGCATTCTTCCCCTCCTCCTGAAGATCACTCACTAGGGAGACAACAACACACAAAATACAGGCACGACAAAGTCAATAAAACAAATCAACACTGAAAGGCTCGATTGAAAGTCCTACTCATAAATAACTGGAGGGATTATCTGAAAAAAAAGTCTGAAAATAACACTGACTGTATTTAAATTATCTGAGTAAAGAGACAGAGATAAGCAGGCAAAGACTGTGGGACAGAAATACAAGACACTAAAGACAAAGCTCTTCAGAGTCACTGGTAACAATATCAGCACACAATCACCTTAAATTCCCCTAGTGGGCAAAGTGTGGGTCAGTTTGGTGTCAATTTGTGGGCCGCTCCTCCTCTACAGACACTACTTCAGTCACTCCACCACCACTTTCTCTTGTTAGTGTCGGCAACAGTCAGAGCTCAACAACCTGACATTTATACAGGTTTCTCTAATTCTGAAAAGGGGAACTCCATTGATTTCACACATGAGAGTCTGATAACAGGTCTTAATGAGTACTGCTTCATATTTTAAAAAGTTGTATAAAGCCTTTTCTGGCTGCATGGGGAGCTGTGAAGTCAGATAAATTGCATTAAGTGATGTCACTTGAGTCAGCCTCAGTTGGGTATGAAGCATGGACTGTAAAAAAGAGTGAACATAGCAACTGTGATGTCACCCATTGGTTTGAAGCCTTGAGTTTGGCATTTTGACAGTCGCCATCTTGGTTTTTTTTTGGAGTCAGAAGTGACCATCAGCCTTTCCCAAACCACGCCCTACACCCTCTCCCTCACTCCATTTCTGCCTTCAGACGAAGGGTCCGCCATACTGAGCGCCATCCCAAACCAACTAGTGAGGAGTGGAAGTGAGTTATAAAACCCTCCAACAGCGCCATGTTGTGTTCATCATGGAAGACGCTCCATACAAGAAAAGTTCCACAACTACCTTACAAACGTAAACTGCTCAAACTAAGACATTTACAGGCCTATTGTCATACGGATGATAACATCTTAAACTGTCCATCCATCCATCCATCCATCCATCTATTTTTATCCACTTATCCGGGGCCGGGTCGCCGGAGCAGCAGGTCAAGCAAAGCATCCCAGACTTCCCTCTCCCCAGCGACGCTCCCAGGCCAGATGAGATATGTAATCCCTCCAGCATGCTCTGGGTCTGCCCTGGGGCCTCCTACCAGTCTGGCCATTCTCCTCTGACCTCTGGCATCAACAAGGTACTCTCACCCAGAGAACTGCTGCTCCATCCTCTGTAAACCCTATAGATGGTTGTGTGTGAAAATCCCAGTAGATCAGCAGTTACTGAAATATGCAAACCAGCCCGTCTGGCACCAACAACCACGCCACGCTCACTTAAATCACCTTTCTTCCTCATTCTGATGCTCGGTTTGAATTTCAGCAGGTCGTCTTGACCATGTCTTCATGCCTAAATGCATTGAGCTGCTGCCACATGATTGGCCAATTAGTCATTGCATTAACGAGAAGCTGAACAGGTGTACCTAATAAAGTGGACAGTAAGTGTATATGTATATATTCTTGTATTTATCCTCATTTTCTTTCAAATGTCAAGATTATTTACTACATGGAATAAAATTAAACCCCTTTAATGTCACTGTACAAAGAGATTAGTGCTACATCTGATCAGGTGCCAACTAGTCAATAAACAGATAACGTAATCATACATAAAATCGGAAATAGCATAAAAAAAATACAAGGAAAAAATAGGCTGGATGAAGCTTTTCTCTGTATGTGTGTAAGCATCATAGCATCGCACGTTTACAGACCTTAATGGACTCAACATACTCAAAAAGTCAAATTAATATAAATAAATTTACCTTTTCTATCTCATACTTTGCACTCTGAAAAGGGACAACTCAAAGACTATAATTTATTGGCCACTATTAATCAGATAGTCAGATTGTCAATCACTAAATTAGGTAGAATAATTTGACTCCCAATTCCACATTATGAAGTATATTCCATCTGTTTACACCTCATGATGTACCATACTGTGCTGAGAAGATGTTATGTAAGGAGTGCGCTGTCGTCAAGTTGTGAGTTGCAGAATCTTCAGTTGGTGAAAAATGTTTATCCAGTGATTTTGAGCTGCAAACTGCTCTGTCACACGCCTGTCACTTCCTAAATTTTTCTCCACCCATGTGACGCTCTGTCTTTTCCACTACAGATTGCATTACAGGGCAGAAGTGGCCATCAAAAGTTATTATACTTTGCATACTGGCACTTTATAGTGTATTTCATTTAGAATGAGAACTTAGTCTCAAACTGTGGACACTAAAGCTGATTCGAGGTGACAACAAGACACAAAAAGTAACAAACACTGACACACACTTTGAGAAAGGCTTTCAGTGCAATCACTTTCCACTGAGATGCGTTCACTTCTGACTGCAGAGACACTCCAGGGATTAAAAGGCTTTTTCTTCTTAATGGCCACGCTGCTTTTATCATCCAGCATTTCAATTTGTACGACCTGCAACACGCCGGGCTGCAATCAATGGTCTCAAATCTGTCATTTCATTGACTCTGCTCTTCAGAGTGGCTGCACTTTGAGCTCCTTTTTTTTAAATTAAATGCATTTTTCTGATTGAAAATATAATAAAGGGAAGTCTAGAGCCGTGTGTTTGTGATACAATCTGGAGAAAATCTCAACTTCAAAGCCAGTGCAAAGAGAGGATGTTCAGAATAACCCCGGGGAGGAGAGGTCCCCATAGATTTCCTATCTGATTCAGCCCTCTCATAAGAGCTGAATCTCACTACAGATCAGCACTTTGCTTTGTAATTACAGAGCAAGCTCGCTGCATTTCATCATAATTGTGCTGCTTCCTCCCTTCGCATCTATCTGACTGCATTACTGCTGCTGGCACTTCACACAGTCAAGTGAAAAGTGAGTGAAAAATGGTCACATTATACCGTATAATTAATTTGCTAGAGCAGATTTATGCAGAATGATTTATGGAAATAAAAATATTCCCACTCGTAGATCCAGAAATACAACAGCAACCCTCACACTCAATTCTGTTAAGTTAAAGAGACATTTCACAGTGACTACTTACATCTCGATGACCTCTTACAACAACCGACACAACACATTGCTGGATATTAACCTGCAGTTGCACTAAGGTAACAGGTCCTGCTTCCCCATTTCCACTTCCAAGTTCCTCAAAGCCCAAAATCAGAACCACATTTACCTTGTTTCTTCCTCTTGGTCCCACACAGCAGCCCCGCCATGTCCCCACTATAAACCTCCTGATTCCCAACGACGACGGCAGTGGGCAAAGGTAGAAAATGCAGGAGTGTATGTGTGTGTGAATCGTAGTCGGTGGGACTGAGCAGTGGCAGGGGCGTCATCACGTGTTTATTTCTGTCACAGCCCTCCACCCCACATCTGCGGTCCAGTTACAAGAGACGCTGAGGGGTGTGTGTGTGTGTGTGTGTGTGTGTGTGTGTGTGTGTGTGTGTGTGTGGGACAGGAAAGACCACACTGGACATGAACGCATCAGGCTCTGGACACAGGACAGACTCCACTGACCTCTCACAGGTACAGAGTGGACTGGATATCGTTTAATTTGAATCTAATATCCGTATAAATGCATGCAGCCTGGTGGTGTCAGTTCAGGATTTTGTAATTGACTGTTTAAATTGCAATCTAGTAATTTCACAGCAATATAAGAGACTTGTTTTTTCGGAGAATAACTGAACACGTGAATGGAGCCTTTAACATGTTTTGCTGCAGCGGATAATCAATCAGGCAGCGGCTGTATTCCTGTTAACAGAATTACACTAATTCAATACAAATCAAAGCCTGCAGTCAATCTTACGCTGGCTGCGTTGCACAAATCCACGTAAAAACCTCCTCGGTGGTTTTTGCAAAGCATTATGGAAGAGGACAAAACAACAGCAAGAAATGGTCAGACTTATTTTTGCTTTGGAGATAAAAAATGTTCCGAGTATAATTAGTCTGCATCATAAACAACAGCGTAAAGCAGATTGAAATCGACCTCGTCTTGTTTGGTTCCAGTGCTCTCGGGGGGGGGGGGGGGGGGGNGGGGGGGGGGGGGGGGGGGGGGGGGGGTTTCACTGTGGCACTGGGGGAAGATATAAATAATGCAGCAGTATGGAGAAGACAGGCCGGACCTTAAATATAGCTGTGGTTATTTACACCGACACAAGCAGCAGTGAGTAACAGCAGCCGGGAGATGACAGAGTCACTGAGTCTGTTCCACAGGGGGCCTTCAGCAGATATTAACTCTCTAACTTATTACACCTGATATTTACTTATTATTACATGCTATGTACTTTATTTGCTCAAAGATGTGATTCTCTTTTTCTCCATATTGCAATTCTTCTACTTTTTCTACTATTGTACTGTTTTTGTGTTGTTGTTTTTTTATCCAATTCAAGAGTCAAAGGAGAGCGGAAGTCGAAAACTGTTTAGACTGTAAATGAAATTGGATACCGACTAGTGTTGTTGTGATTTCAAAATTACGACTTTGATCAATACCTGCCTAAATGTCTCAATAAAGAAACAATACCACAGAAAAAAACTTTAAACATTAGGGGTGGGGGAAAAAAAATCGACACAGCAGAGTATCGAGATATTTTTGTGTAGCATATCGTATCGTCACACAGTGCCAAGTTTTGAGTTTTTAATTACATAAATTATTAATATTACAAATACAAATTCAACTTTAGGTGGCCTACTAGAATAATAAAATCAATTGCTTTTTCAGTCCACTACATACATTCTGCTGCTGAAAACTTTATATTATGACACAGATGTTGACAAAGTTTGCCTTTGGGGACGTAACTTACAGTTTAAAAAAGGTAATAAATCACAATATATTGCAATACCCAGCATATCGCGACACGTTTAAAATCACAATAATATTGTATCATAATAATATTGTATCGTGGGGCCTCTGGTGATTCTCACCCCTATATAACATGAGGATATTACTTGACAAAAAAAAAAGACAATTGACTGAACTTTAGTAAAATTCAAGTAAATAAATAAATGAATAGAAAATGTGCTCAGTGGACCACAGACCTCCACCCAGGAGATGTATTGAGTCACCTGTGTTCAGTCTACTTTAGTGCACCACTCTGCGCAGGGTAACTAGGGGTGGCAGTAGCTCTGTCCATAGGGACTTGGCTTTGGAATCAGAGGGTCGCCAGTCCAAATTCCAGTACGGACTAATTGGAGTGAAGACTGGTTGCTGGGGAGGCGCCAGTTCACCTCCTGGGCACTGCCGAGGTGCACTTGAACAAGACACTGACCAACTGTTCGGGGTGCCTGTCCAAGGCACATCTCTCCATTTAATGCATGTACTGTACAGGTCCTGTTTATGCATGTGTGTGTATTTCAGGCTTGTGTGTATATCAGGATTGATAAAGTATATCTTCTTCTTCCTTTAATAATCCTCAAAGTGCCAGGTTCACACTTAATGTCAACTTAATGTCAGTTATGTTTTTTTTTTTTTCACGCTCAATAAAATTGAAGTTTATGTACTGTCAAATGTTTTCTTGTTTGTTTGGTTCTTTTCACACATGTCGGCATGTTTTTCACAATAAATTAGTACATTTTAAACATTAATAATTTGATTACTGTGTGTAATTAGATCAAACTTATGGTGTTATTAAAGGTTTTACATGGTATGCAGTAATCTGGTGTCCTCTATACTTGAGTTTTTTTGTGAATTCTTTGATAGTTAGCTTTATATCTGCAACCAGATACCTCTTATAAAACTCAGTGCACATCATAACATACACAAACTTTTTTAAGAGTCTTATAGATGTTGTTAAATTTAGTTTTTAAAAATTATGACTGAGAAACGTACTAAGTGGGACATTTTACAGTTGAAAAATTCAGGGCTCTCTGGTGAAGGAACTGTAATATTACAGTTTTTCAAATACATCTTTGATATTTCTGTGCTGCAATTTCTTGTTACAATAACAGTAACCCACATTATCAGTCACTATATCGGCTGTAATAGAGAAAAACTGACTTGACTGTTCAGGTGCATCAAATAGCAAATATGTTTCTGTCCTTTTTTGGAGTAACTCTACTCTTAAATGTTTAAAGTATGTCAGCGATTTCCTGGATAACGGCAACTAATAATAATACCATAAATGTTAAGTCAATATAATTTACAAGCGATTTGGATGTTTTTATTATTTATACAGTATTTTCCTAAAGATGCTAAATTAAAAAAAAAATCACCAGTGCTGCATCGCAAACAGCAAAAGACACAAAGCAACAGTATCAAACTATATATTGAATCTAGTAATGTTGGTTCAAGTTTCACTACCTTTTGGATGTATTCCTGATACATTAATTAATAAAACAAGCAGGTGAAGTTAGTTTAAAAAAGTAACAACACAACAATAACCAGATGACTTACTATTATCAGCATCCATCCTGCACTTAAGTCATATTTTGTATTATCAGAGTGCATACACTCTTCACCCTGAGATAATAGAGAGAGGATGTGACCTGACGTTCATCCTCTCGGTCCTTATAAAGCAAAACTTTTTTTTCTGTCTCCACTAAACTCTCACTGTTACAGTACTGCCTGTTGCTGACAAAGGGAGCTGTGTCTTGTCAGAGAGATGCAGACTTCCTTTCAGTTTATCAGGATATACACAAAGAGCCATGACCGTGCAGTATCTTTGAAAACTAGGTCTGTAATTGCAGGAATCTGGGCTTGGTAAATTATACATGTTAGTTTACGTCTTGCTAAACAGCCTTAAGCAACACTTTTCATCCTATTTCTGATACAAGCAGAAGAAGAGGAGGGTTTGAATGTTTATAACTACTAAAAGGAGCACATGTGGTTGCTAGGGAGTGTCAACACAGCTTAAGAAACCATAAGTCCCTCTCTTTAAGGCACAATACAGTTGCATTAGTATTGATTATTCAGCAAGTGTGAAGCAAGTTTTCCAGTGTTGGGTGTTCCTCTTAAAGATATACAGCACCACACCCAAACGTAACAGAAACCACAACAACAGCAGCGGCAGCAGCATAAGAGACCACAAGCTGGGCTGCTTTACCAAAGACCAAACTCACATACTTGTCTCCTGTTATACTGACTTTCAATTCTAAAATCACAGAGACTTTCTACCTTTAAAATAACCAGTTTATCATCTTGGCTTTAATCCACTTTGACCACACAGGGGCAGTGCGCTCAAACAAGCTGCACACACACACTGACACTGTAGTGGGCTTCCTTTCAGCCCGCTCTGCTGCACTGACTTACAGCACAGTCATACATTAGCAAAATTAATGTCTGGGAACCACTGGGTGGTTTTGTAGGTACGTTGGAGGCTGACAAATAAAGGAACAGTTACACTTTCATGTTGTATCATTCATTACATCCAGTATAAGCACCACGAGAAAATGTCACAGACGCCTGAGATCACAGGTTTGCCTTTCCCCATTTTTACCTCTGCCTACACTAAAGTCTGGGCCAGAGGTACTGTGGGCAAAAACACAGTAAAGGTATTTGTAGGATTCTTTATAATGGGACAACATTTGTGACCTGTACTGGCAGTCTTGAAATGCAGACCTCTGAAGAGGATGTAAAGATATTTGAGGAAATGGTGTTCCCCAGGGCCAGTCAAGAGGAGGGACGGTTAAATCTCTGTGTGTCTAATACAGAGATAGGTCTAGGATGAGGTTAGCCTAGCTTAGCACAAATACTGGAAGTACAGGGAAACTACTAGCCTAGCTCTAACAAAAGAAAAAAAATCCCGCATTCTTTTTCTTATTTTGTACAATTAATTAAATTACATACATTGAAAGAGTACGAGTGTGCATGCATAGTACGATGTAAATTCAAATATGGAAGGGACTTGATCACTAAAATTACGTGGGAAAAGAAGTGGATATATTGATATCAGTATCAGTTATTGGCCAAATAAGTTGTTATATATCGGGATATCAGATACTGGCAAAAAATCCAACATCGCACATCCCTACTGAATACACACACAGACTGTGGGATTTCTTGCAGTGACAGTTCATGGCTGACGATTCGCCTCAGGAGGAGACGTCTTTTATATGTGGTTTTGGATGTTCTTTGTTCCTTCATTTTACCTAATAAAGGTCTAAGAAACGAAACTGTGTATTTAAATAAAGTTTTACTGCAAGTAATCAGACAGCGTGCAGATATTCTCTTCCCTTATCTACGGACAATTTCCTCCCACACACTTGTCTACAAGTTATTGAAGGCTTGTATGAGCTTCCACATTCCTGTCTGAGAAACTAGAAAGATCACTGTAAAAAAACCTGTACATCATATTTCCTGTACCTCTAAGAGGTGTCTTCAAATTGCTTGTTTTGTTCGACTAATCTGCCAAAAATCCAAATATATTCAATAACTACAAGAGGGACAAATAAAAGCAGCAAACTCAAACAACGTCTGGGCTATTAAGAGTTTTGGGACATTGTTCTGAGAAATGCTAGTCTGTGTTGATTCTATACTGTGGTATGTGAACCAACACTAAATTGTTATCACTGGTTTCAGTAAAGCTTTCAGCACAAGCTGCAGCAGGAAGACAATTATTCTCATTTCCTCATTAAAATCGAGATATCATCCAATTAACTCACTGAGCTGAGCTGTCTGTGGGTTTCTCTGTTTAACTGCTAAAGCAGCTTTAAGGTTAAAAAGAATCATCTTATCCCACTCTGGGACAGTTACATCTATTTGGGCTGCAACTCATGATTATTTTCATTATCAATTTATCTGTTGATTTTTCTTTCTTTTAATTGTGGCGGTTATAAAATAATAGAAACAGAAGTTGTGTGTGGCCCAGAGACGAAGGTGACAAACTGCTTGTTTTGTCCAACTAACAGTCTAAAACACAACTATATTTAATCCATAGCAACACCTTCATCACTTCTGCAATGCTCTTACACTTTAATGTAATCACCTTACATTGGTCCTCTATCCATATGTATCTGCGTTTATGTATGGGTTGTGTAAAAAGCTACTGGGTGCCTTAATTTCCCCCAGGATTGATAATCTATCTATCTATCTATCTATCTATCTATTATAGAATTCAATAAGGCTCCTAGACAATTAATATGTCTCTGTCCTCCTCCTGCTGGTGGTGAACCTCCTTTAATGGAGATTACAAACACATGGCTGTGAGCGCACACACACACACACACACACACACACACACACACACACAGACGTTAAACCTTGCAGCTGTCTGTCTGACCACACAGTGTCTGGCCCGTGGGAGGGCAGAAAATAGTTTGACCAACAACTGGTAAAGTAGGACAATAAGTTAAAGCCTATTTTTTGATATCCAGAACAACACAGTGAACACAGTCCTGCTGTTTGCCACCTTTATCTCCACATCCTGTCACCACTGTGTGACTGTGTGATCTATTTATGTTCATTACCTCATGGTAAATGCCTGTGGAGCTGCTCAGGGTGCTTTGTCTCGCCTCTCACTTGGAGAAGTATTAAGTCTACACTAGGGCTCAAAATATGTTAATGAATGAACCTATAATCAGTTATGACACACTAATCAGGAGCATGCAAGTGAAACATTGAGCCAGATTACAAGATTATACCACAAAAAGATAAAAATGTATTCATATAAATCATGTGTGCAGTGCATGATTAAAGTGCCGGTGGTGTCCCAGAGCAGAATATTTTAATAGCGCATCATGTGATTGCAGCACCATGGACAGAAACCCCAACAAGCTAATACAAACAGAGGCCTTTTATAATGTTGAAAAACAAAGAAAACCAAAAAAAAAAAAAAAAAAAAAAAAATCACTGACCTTCTTTAGACTTTTTCTTCCGCACCAAGGTTCCTCCTAATTTCCCGAGGAAAGATTCGTCCTTTTTCATCTTTGCGGGCTGCAGGGTCGCAGATGTGTTCGCGGTCCCAGACATCTCTCTGTGTGTTGTGTTTCTTTGCCTCTCTTGTGTCTGTTAATAATGTCCCTCCTCCTCCTCGTGCTGCATTCACGGCACCGGTGTGAGATCCAATCACAGAGAACAGACTGAATTCACAGGCAGACGGCAGACTGAAGGAAGAAGCGCTGGTCCGGCATCAACAGAGCAATGACTCACATGTGAGTAACAATCTGCTCCAATGTTTACTGAGGGTTCGTGTCACAGCGCCTCCTAACGGCAGGGTGAGGAAAATAGATTTAATTTATTTAATGGTAAAGGTGACAATAAATAAATACATCTTTATCTAGTGGGGAGAAGCTTTTCGTGAAATGAAGACCATAAAATGAGTTACGTGGACCTATGAAGAAAAATCAAACATCTACTTAGAGAAAATAGTGTCAGCGTCATGGATGCAGCGTGTCAGTGCATGTCACAGTCTGAGAGACAACCAACACTACACCATATAGCTCATCACGTCACAGATCACACTCTGCCTTTTTATTTACTCCTTCACTTAATGAGTTTTTTTCTTTAAACTTCGTTTCTATGATTTTGTAATTATTACTGAATTCGCTGTCTTTAATTGTAATTGTGCTTTAGCAACACATATGAAATATCATGTCAATAAAGCTTATTGAATTGTATTAAAATTGAAGACCATAAAGGGACAGGGAGAAAAAAAACAATCTCATTTTACCTGCCCCTCTCTCAAAACTCGAACCAGAAGAAATAGATGGTCTGTCAGTTACAGTTAATAACCAATACTTACAGTAACTTCAGAAAGAACATAAATAAATAAACAGAGAAGAATCGAGAGCCACACACAATGTACCCCTCAAGAAGGGACACCTTGTAAATCTAAAATGTTATACTACTACAAAATCTAAAAAATATTTTGAGGCAGGATACCCTGAGGGGGCTTCTTGTTCCAAGGGTCTAACTTTACATTTTTACTAATCTGGGTAAGGGGGGAATCTCTCACCATCTCACCCTCAGTAGCAGCAGTGGTGTAGTGGAGGATAAACGCAGGTACTGTAAAACTTCAATTAGTAACCTGGGCAATTATTTGCTTAAACCACTGAACTCAACAGGTCTATATTTGGGACAGGCCTTTAATTCCTTTTGCACAAACTGTTGCTCAGCAAAGATCTGGAAATATGATCCAAATGTTTATTTGAACCAGTGTGAATATTACTTGTATAAAAATTAGGCTTTGAATAACATCAATTACGTGTCATGTTGTGACACTTGTCCCACAGCACCCGGCATACCAACACAACACAATTTTATCCTGTTAAAACAATATTCATAACTTGGATTAATTTTTATGAAAAACCCTTTTGATTCTTTTGATCAGTGGACCCATACTGACTAAAGAAATATAAATAACTTACCAGGTAATCGAGGAATGGACACATATTCAGACTTTGACAGCTTCAGAGGAAAGGAGTCACCACTTGTTTTTTCGTCATGCCGGCAAATTTGAATGAATTACAGTCTTCTCTGGTGCTCATGGTTTTAGTAAAATGAAATGGACTGAGCTAACAATGTGTAGCATCTCCATACTGACAAAAGTCTAAACAGTTACACTGGTACAGTACAGGCCAAAAGTTTGGACACACCTTCTCATTCAATGAGTTTTCTTTATTTTCATGACTATTTACATTGTAGATTCTCACTGAAGGCATCAAAACTATGAATGAACACATGTGGAGTTATGTACTTAACAAAAAAAGGTGAAATAACTGAAAACATGTTTTATATTCTAGTTTCTTCAAAATAGCCACCCTTTGCTCTGATTACTGCTTTGCACACTCTTGGCATTCTCTCCATGAGCTTCAAGAGGTAGTCACCTGAAATGGTTTCCACTTCACAGGTGTGCCTTATCAGGGTTAATTAGTGGAATTTCTTGCTTTATCAATGGGGTTGGGACCATCAGTTGTGTTGTGCAGAAGTCAGGTTAATACACAGCCGACAGCCCTATTGGACAACTGTTAAAATTCATATTATGGCAAGAACCAATCAGCTAACTAAAGAAAAACGAGTGGCCATCATTACTTTAAGAAATGAAGGTCAGTCAGTCCGGAAAATTGCAAAACTTTAAATGTGTCCCCAAGTGGAGTCGCAAAAACCATCACGCGCTACAACGAAACTGGCACACATGAGGACCGACCCAGGAAAGGAAGACCAAGAGTCACCTCTGCTTCTGAGGATAAGTTCATCCGAGTCACCAGCCTCAGAAATCGCAAGTTAACAGCAGCTCAGATCAGAGACCAGATGAATGCCACACAGAGTTCTAGCAGCAGACCCATCTCTAGAACAACTGTTAAGAGGAGACTGCGCCAATCAGGCCTTCATGGTCAAATAGCTGCTAGGAAACCACTGCTAAGGAGAGGCAACAAGCAGAAGAGATTTGTTTGGGCCAAGAAACACAAGGAATGGACATTAGACCAGTGGAAATCTGTGCTTTGGTCTGATGAGTCCAAATTTGAGATCTTTGGTTCCAACCGCCGTGTCTTTGTGAGACGCAGAAAAGGTGAACGGATGGATTCCACATGCCTGGTTCCCACTGTGAAGCATGGAGGAGGAGGTGTGATGGTGTGGGGGTGTTTTGCTGGTGACACTGTTGGGGATTTATTCAAAATTGAAGGCACACTGAACCAGCATGGCTACCACAGCATCCTGCAGCGACATGCCATCCCATCCGGTTTGCGTTTAGTTGGACGATCATTTATTTTTCAACAGGACAATGACCCCAAACACACCTCCAGGCTGTGTAAGGGCTATTTGACCAAGAAGGAGAGTGATGGAGTGCTGCGGCAGATGACCTGGCCTCCACAGTCACCGGACCTGAACCCAATCGAGATGGTTTGGGGTGAGCTGGACCGCAGAGTGAAGGCAAAGGGGCCAACAAGTGCTAAACACCTCTGGGAACTCCTTCAAGACTGTTGGAAAACCATTTCAGGTGACTACCTCTTGAAGCTCATGGAGAGAATGCCAAGAGTGTGCAAAGCAGTAATCAGAGCAAAGGGTGGCTATTTTGAAGAAACTAGAATATAAAACATGTTTTCAGTTATTTCCCTTTTTTTGTTAAGTACATAACTCCACATGTGTTCATTCATAGTTTTGATGCCTTCAGTGAGAATCTACAATATAAATAGTCATGAAAATAAAGAAAACGCATTGAATGAGAAGGTGTGTCCAAACTTTTGGCCTGTACTGTATATGCGATCTAAACAGCTTTCTAACGTTAGCTCAAGTGGGTAGTCAACACCCAGTTTTATACATTCAAAGACATACAAAGAGCTTCTATAAAAAATAAACTGCTTGGCAACCAGACCAGGCATCTAATTGAGACAGGCCTTTGAGACTGGGTATTTACTTTAAGTTTTACAGTATATGGGGTATACCAACCTCTTTTCTGGCCATTTACAGTATACCCATCTATCAGCCCCAAACCATTGGAATATACAGGAGAGTAGGCCTGTACCCACTTCCTCCTCTGTAACCTACCAATCTACCTGATAGTACTTTTCACCATAAGTCTGTGCACCTGAATATTAACAGCAATGTGCACTTAAAGTGTCAAAAATAAAGTATCCATTGTGCAGAATGGTCACTAATAATTTTAAAACATTATAAACAATGCATTATTAATCTAAGTAGTATTTAAACCCTGTAGTTGGTTGAGGAATTTACTGTTGTTAAAGTAGTTTATTCTTCAACAGTGCAACTGATCATGTTTTGAGTGTGACAGCTAAGTATGAAAAGTCATTAGTAACGTTAGCTATGAAATGAATGTAGTACCTCAAAATTGTACTATTATAATTTAATAAATTACCAACAATAATCATCATAGAATACCAACAAATAAATGAGAATATGTTAACTTTTGACAGCATAGATATGAGATAAATTCACACAGAAATCAGAGTTTGAGTTCATGTATCAATCCATAACACAAACCTGTATTTGCCCAGCATTGACAGACGTTATGGAGGTACAATAATCTTGAAGAAGATCAGGAAATATTAATAACTAAGGTTGAATTGTTAATGTAGGCATCAAAAGCCCTGTAAATTAATTTGAAAATCATTTTGATTCATTATGATCACGCATTTTGAAAAATACTGTTTATTTTAGGACACAGTGTGAATGATAAAGGCATCATTTGGACAATAAAACCTGGCATAAAAATACAAAACTCTATCATGACGTTTGATTGATGTTCTTTACAAAAAAAAGCAGCATCTGCTTCAGTGCTGATCACCTCCTCCTTCTGGTGCTGTTTTCAGGAGACAAAAGTTCCTATTAATATAGTGCAGGTCATTTTAAACTCTGCGGATGCCACATTTTATCTGTAATGTTTATATGAATTCACCTGTCGTCTGCAGTAGCTTCCAGTCCATCTGCAGTTTGTGTCTCAGTCTCTCCAGCGCCTCCACGTCCTCTGCTAGAGGAGAATGAAGCTGCCCCAGAGAGGGGGCAGCATCACCGAGGAGAGAAGAGGCTGTGGGGCTGACAAATGCCATCTCACCTTCCTGAGATGACAAAATTAGAGCGGCATTTAACACTTGTACTTCCACACTATCAAGGATTGAGATGGCATTTACTGTACTGTCATTAAACCTTCTTACCTGCAGGAGCACCAGTGTGTGTCCTTGTGCAAGGCCCTGCAGCAGGCCTGTTAGTTGTTGCCACACACTGTCACACAGCCCGCTATATGGCGTCCGAACCAACAGAACCAGACTGGGGTCATACTCATATCCCAGAGGCAGAAGGAGACCCAACACTGCCTGTGTGAACCCCGACACATCACTGCAGCCCTGTGGGATGTGGACAGGCTGTCTTTAAACAAACACACCCTGCACATAAAACACTCATGCACAAATCACCACAGCATTTTTGAATATACTGTTGAACAATATTTACTGAAATACCCAAAAGTACATTGAAGAAACTTTTTTGTGTGTTTAAGTGGCCAAAACCAAAACTACAGATAACTTAACTTAGATATCCTTTGGACCAATATCTTAATATGAGAAGTCATAATACGATCATATAGACAACAAAACAGTGATACTGATATAGCATCTACTACAGTACTACCTGCACACAGAAAATGAAAAGTCCTCTACCAACATACCTTCTTCAGACACACAGGAATGTGATATTTGCATGTCTGTTTCTCTGACTCCTTGCTGCTGAACTGCACCAGGAGTGTTTTCCTAAAGATGGAAAAGATTTCTGTTAGTGTTGTTTAACAAAGTTTTATCACAAAGTCTTATTCAGGGACACACAAAAGATATTCACCCATCCTCTGTGCCGTGACGCGGGACCTCTGCATCTCCAACACACACGATCAGAACCCTGCATAAGGAGAAAAGTGGTATCAGATCAGTCTGATTTAATCATAGTGAGGTCAGTTTGTTCTTTAGACAAAACCTCTGGAAAACTGCATCTACAATGGAAATCCCTTCATTTGCCTGCAGCACAAATGAGAGAACCAAACAAATTGACCCCAAAAATCCCACAAACACAAAGCAGCTTTGGATAAAAAGATCAATACCACTCTCATTTTGTCCATCCTTCCATTTATAAATGCTTATACGAAGTCGGGTCATGGGGACAGCAGGCTAGCAAAGTATTCGAGGTGTCCCTCTTCCTAGCAACGCTTTCCAGCTCCTCCTGGGGGACCCTAAGGTGTTCCCAGGCCAGATGAGATATGTAATCCTACCAGTGGGACGTGCACGGAACACCTCTAACAGGAGGCATCCTGATCAGATGCCCAAACCACCTCAACAACTGGCCCAAGGCCCAGCCACCAGCATCTAAAATTACAGCCAGTTGTTAGTTAGCTTAGCTTAGCATAAAGACTGCAAACAGGGGGAAACAGCTAGCCTGGCTCTGTCAGAAGGTAACAACAAAATCAACTTACCAGCATCCCTAAAGCTCTTTGCAGTTGCAAGCTATCTCATTTGTTTAATCCGTTCAAAAAGTATAAATTAACATGTTATACTTCTATAGTGGGGGGTTATGATTATGTGCAGTTTCACAGATGTTTACTTCAGAAATGGGCAGCAATGAGTAAGGCATTGCTCCAGGCAAAGAAATAGTAGTAGTAATAGTTTTTATACAAACTGAACAAAGACACACATGTTAATAAATGAGATTTAGATGTCAGCAGAATCAGAAATACTTGTAAAGAATAGAGGATTATAAGAAGTAAAAATAAGAGTATGAAATAGATGTAAATATAAAGCAATAAAATAAAATAAAAATGAAAATGTGCATTAAAATAAAAATAAAATGTGCATTCTGCTACCATGTTTAACACAAGAACTTAAAATATTAAAAATAATATATATCATCACTGTGCTGAGGCTGTAAGTGTGAAAATTTAACTACAATATATACATCAATAGAATAAAACGAGAATAGAATAAGAGTAAACATAAGAAATATGTACAGTTATGTGCACTGTATGTTGAATAAATATACATTCAAGAGGTGAAAATATTGCACAGTTTAATTATTGCACCCAATAGATAATTATGAATAATAAATGCAGTAGGTTAAAAAGTCCAAACGCCAGTCTATTGACTCAGAGCAGCTGAGAGCTGATGGCAGCCAGCAGGAATGACTTCCTGTGGTGCTCTATGGTGCATCTTGGGGGAATGAGTCTATCACTGGATGTGCTCCTGTGTTTGACCAGCACATCGTGGAGTGGGTGTGAGACATTGTCCAAGATGACACTTATCTTAGATAGCATCCTCCTCTCTGACACTGCCACCAGAAAGTCCAGCTCCACACCCACGATGTTACTGGCATTGCAAATTAGTTTATTGAGTCTGCTGGTGTCTGCTACTCTCAGCCTTGGTGGGCAGATTTACTTTCCCCTGGACAGACCCAGCCTTTCCTCATTTCCAGTCTTTATGCTAAACTTGGCTCACTGCCTCCTGGCTGTACCTTTATACTTACAGTAGCTTACACATATGAGAGCGGTATCAATCTTGTCATCTAACCTTCAGCAAGTAACCAAGTCAGTGTATTTCCCAAAATAAGGTGGATTGTTTCATCACGACATCACTCTTCTATCTCAGTAATATTAAAACATACAGTCACTGTGCATATGGATTAGATCCATGTTGCAGTACCGGTTACTGAGAGCAGCTGCAGCATGCTGGGTAACACACATCATCGCCATGGAGACATCACGGACCAGGGCCAAGCCATTGCGGATCTGAGAACAGTGATTAAATGTAATGACATTAGCTTGCAGCTCTTGTAGGCAGGTCAGCAAAGCAGATCACAACACGGCACTCGAAACGAGCAGACACACATAATATCCAGACTGTACCTTGTTCTTCTGCATCTTCTCTACGAGGGCGATAAGACTGGAGAGGGTTTTAAGAGCATTGCTGTCATCTTCATTGAGGAAATTCTCCCTTATTGTGGAAAAATAAATATGAAATCATGACTATGAATTAATTCAGCTTCTCCTATGATCGTTTTTTCCTGTGACATGAAATCAGCAGCCGCAGCTCCATACCTGAATTTGCTGACTATGACCGGGTCCTCTGGTGAGCTGAAGTGTTCACATCCATCAGGGCAAGCCACGGCATCAGGAAGGATTAAAGCAGTGTGGACAGGAGGAGCGACGCGTTTTGGAGGCGCTGGCCAGACCTTTTCCTCTGTGTGTTTCTCCTCTTCTCTTGTCTCCACCTTTTCTTCTTCTGCTAATTTCATGCGCTTCGTGCTGATTTCAGAGGCAGGTAGCTCAGCTGGAGACAGATATGAGATAATTTATGAGGCAGTGGGCATGAAAGTCATCTCTGATTTAGGCATGAGGCTCACCTGAATCTCAGACTGAATTAAGTTGCATTGTGGGTAATGTAGGCACCAGATTTGGATAAGGATGAAGAACACATGGAGTAAAAAAGATGACATCTCTGGTTCTGTTGCGTCGATTTTGATCCTTTTTTATACTTTCCATCAGGAGTCCGACCATTTTAAAAGGAGTGCAATGCTAAATCAGTGGAATGCTATTTTAAAAAATGTCTCAAAAAGCTCCAAAAGAATAAGGTAGATGTTTTACCTGCATGTTTGAGGCAGGACCAGTACTTCCTGTGAGCTGATCGGACACAGTGAAGAGACTCAAGTGTACTGGAAATAGAAAAATAAATTCATTACAGTTATCAAACACACAGCAGATAAGATCTGACACAGGAATCTAAATGTTGTTGAGACCGACCTCGTACAGGGACCATCGAGGTTTGCAGGTCGAGGCGCAGGATCTCCGAGCAACGTCTGCACTGTTTGACACACAGACTGGGGGAGGGAAGTCAGGTTGTATCCACCCTGGAAAACATGTGCACAGTAAAACCTTTTACTACCAAATGTTCCAACGTGATGGGAGCAATGTGTAGAGCTTTAACAAGTGGCTAAAGTAACATAGATATGCACATGTAATATATTTACATATTAATAGATTGACGCTCTGCCATTGTGGTCATTCTTAACGTAGGAATAATCCGACAGCTCAACAGGATTTGGCTTCCCCCTCTCCTACACATTTACAATTCAAACTTAATTGTTGTTAATACTGACAGCCCCATTTGGAGTGACATGATGTAAAGTCCCACATAAAAAGTGGGATAAGGAGATGGTTGTGAACATGTCTTTTTTTCTGTGCTGGTTTATTTGCTTGCTTTATCTCTAACTCTAAAGTGAGAACACATTTGTGATGCTTTTAACCACTTCTTTCTCATCAAAAAAGATTTCACATGTTTGTGTTGATGGTAAGTATGTGTTGTATGTGGCCTGACCTCCAGCACAGCACACAGTTTCCCTCCTGCAAGGTTCATCAGGAGGTGAGTGAGGTGGGCAAAGACGTCTGGACTGGCACACATTTGACCCTGAAAACAAAAGCATAAAGACCCTCTAAAGTCAGTTTACAAGATCATGTCCTAATGATGGCAAACAGACATGACTGGGGAGGCTAACATATGTGCAAGGGATGCACATGCATATGCTACATAGTCAACTTTGTTAGGCACACTTGAACAATCTAATGCAATCCAACAGAACTGTTCTGCCATAAAGTCTATTTTCATGATGATACTTATGATGTTAATGTAACTATATGTTTGGCACTGAGGTCGAAGTTGAGAACCACACCACCTATAACTATGACGTCAATAGTAAACATATAATTTTTATTTATATGTTTCCAACAATGGCACAGCTGTTGGATTGAATTTCAATAGATTTTACAGGTGTACCTAATAAAATGGCCTAAAAAATAAACAACAATCTACAGCTAAACTGCAAACACAGTTCAGTCTTTGGTGTGATAACTTTAATTCGTTACCTCTGGGTCACCAATGGCTGAGTCAAAGCCTGCACACACCAGGACCAGGTCTGGGCTAAACTGACAAAAAATCACATAATTAATCACATATTCAGATAAATGATCTCCAACACATCTACAACACAACCTGTTAGCAAAATGTGAGTTTCCAAAATGGCTCACCTCATATGCGACTGGCAGAAGGACGTGACAGAAGACTGAAAGATAATCACCGTTCTTCATTCCCACCTGAAATATCAGATTCAGACCGCATTGATAAAAAAAGTGTATATACATACGAATGAGTGCCCACAACCATTGAGCAAATGGATTCTTGGAATATTTCACATAATGAGCACAAAAAACAAGCATTTTCTGGTTTCAGCTTCAAAAATCTGTAAAGTTACATGTTTTCCAATTGTTCAGACTGCGTATATTTTACCTGATGGTCAGACTAAGAAAGCAATTTAAAAAATACCACTGTGTTCACTGTTAACTGATGCAGGGACATTATAATAATTAGATAATTTTTAATATGTTAAATGATTCTTTGATTAATCAATAAAGGTAGAGAATAATGAACATAGGTTGCAGCTTTGATTATTATTTTTTAAAATGATCACTTTGGCATGTTTTCCTTTAATTTTTAAAATAAAAAGACTATTTACATTATTATCAAAGCAGAATTGTAACTCCCTTTCACCTCAGTCAATACAGAAATAGAATCTAAAATAAAACCAGTAACATTTTCACAAAGACAGCCTCACAAATTAAAAAGGTATTCCTAATAACTCCAAGTGTTCCTGTCGTTACTTACTTTGTTCCACGGTACATTTACATTGAATCCTGCGCCTTTCTCTTTGCCAACACTGTCGTAGTCTGATTCTCTGAGATTGGGCCAGAATTTCTGATGTTCGTAGCGGTGCCATGAGAAGTAGAGCACACTGAGGGGAAAAAAAATATAGTAGGCAGTGTGTGTTACGACTGAAGACAACAACGACTTAAACGATTCAGGATCCTTCAGTTAGATAAGACTGACCTTGGATCATCTTCAAAACAGTACTGCACCCCTTGACCATGATGTATATCCCAGTCCACTATCAGCACCCTGGAAATACATAAAGACGATAATAAAACTGGCAGAAACAATACAGCAGGTCTTGCAAGAACTAACAAAAAAATATATAAAGTCACCTTTTAACTCCATATTTCTGTTTGGCATATCGAGCAGCTACGGCCACATTATTGAAGACACAGAATCCATTGGCAGCGCTGCGCATACTGTGGTGTCCTGGTGGTCTATCAACAATCACAGGGGAGTTTTACTGATGCCTTGCAGCTTACAGAAAAATACTTAGTATTCAGTGTATAATTATATAAATTCAAAACATATTAACCTTTGTATCACATAAAACAAAGAAAAACAACAAAGTCTCACACTGGAGAAGTTGAAACCAGAGAATAATGTGACATTTATTGCTTTAAAAAATGACTAAAACAATTAATCAATGATCAATATAGTTGCAGAATAATTTCCTGTTGATCAGCTAATCAATTAATCGACTGATCACTGCAGTCCTAAAATGGATTATATCTTACAGTGCTAAAGCAGAACACATTCAAAAGCAATCTTCCTCACAAAAGAGAAACTCGTACACACTCACTGTAACATCACAGTACGTATTGGGCCTGCTGTGTCTAACAGGTTATCTCACCTGACAAGGGCCATGCCGTTCCTCACCTTCCCCGTCATAACACTGTCCACTAGTTGCAGTGCGGCGCCTGCAGCCAGCTTGGCACAGTGATAAATGTTCTGGTAAATGAGAAAGAGGAACAGTTAACCAGGAATGAAGCTGAACTATCAATGCTGATAAATGACAACAGCTGCAACTCAGCTCATCAGAATACTAAGCACAGGACTAACTGGGTGGAAGTAGACGTCACCGTACTGCAGGGTGAACTCCTTTAGGTCCTCCAGAGTCATACAGGGGGTCTTCTTCACCGCCTCCAAGTACTCCTCACTGTTGAGAGCAACAAAGTGCATGTAGGTGTTTTTTCCAGCCTCACACAGAGGTAAAAGACATTAACTGAACCAGGTGGTGGCTTTTTGTCAACATCAGGACTGACCTGTGAACCAGCAGGATGTCTTCATCCGTCGCCTCACGGACAGGCACGGAGACACAGCGATCAGCAAGACCGGTCTTTATCAAAGCTTCATGACTCACTGTCAGACGGTCCGGTACCTCGACTTTACATGCTGGGCTGGAGGGAAAAAAAAAAGATTAGAATGATGCTCCATAAAGTTGAATTTTAGTTCAAGATTAGTGGATGTGTATCTTAATTCAGCACAACTGAATTTGTGTTTGATCATTTGAAATTCATGGGTTTATTTTCATTGGTAGTTCAGTAATTTCACTTTTGCATTTTGCTTACAAAGAACCTAAAAAAAACACATAGTGGTGAAAAGTAAGTCAAAAAGCAGTGGTGAACAAGTGTCACACACTCTGACTCCATAAGCATTTCTCTTTTATTCATTTAAATGACAAGTCGGCACTCAGGCTTTCTTTAAGACCAGCAGGATTGTTGATTTTGAAAAAGGCCAGAGGGCTGAAATGTCACCTAAAGAAAAGAGAGCTGCATATGGAGCCATACTGCCCTCTACTTTCAAATTTATCAGTGTTAGGCACTTTGCCACAACCCCTGGTGTGTGTTACTTTTTTATATGTCAACAAGCAGTGGACCTTCCCCTAAAAAGATACAAATAGCAGGACTTGATAAGGATAAATTTGTGTTTAAAAAATATAAGAACGATGTAATGAAATATAAGAGACACAACAAAAGAAAAGCTGCAATGCAGTACCTGACAATTATCTTATTGAAAAGAGAAGAAAATGACAAAACTGACTAATTGGACAACATCTAAATTAATTTGACACCATTAATGCAATATAATGACTATTTTTTCCCCAAAAATCACTTTTAATTGAACTGATAAACAAATGAAAGAAGTGCAAATACACATACACACTGAGTACATAACATTCAAAGCTCTAATAGTTGCTATTGACCAAATTCAACAGTGATCTAATGGTTTAAGTTTAGTTGGTTTTGTTTGTTTGTTTGTGTTTTTTGGTTTTAGTTTAGGTTATTTAAGAAGGAACACTGCAAATTAATAAATACACATTGTATTAAAATGCCAGAATTAGCCAAAAGGCTATTTCTCATCTGTAGTCCTTTGACCAAGATGTTACACAAGGCTACCTAAAATACAGCAAAGCACAAAATCATAATATAAAATAAAAAAATGTTAAAATAATAAAAAAAAAGTTCCAATAATATATAAAAGTATGCCAAAAATTATATGTAGTTGTAAGAAGAGCATAAACCTATCTCTTCAAAACGGTTATAGTATCCACAGACTTGCACTGTTCATTTTGAACTACATTAACTCAGCAGTAGGAGCTAGCTTGGAGCTAACCAGTAAAGTGTAAATAAAAAGTGCTTAAACAGTGGGCAAAATAACTGGACTATTTGAGAAAAACACTGTCGTAATAAAAAAGACTCAGCGAGCGAATGCGAAAACTTTACGCTTTTAATTTGTGGGTTAACTGACTAAGTATCTTGAGACCACAGACACACCAGCCGTTTGCTTGGGGGTGCCAACGCTACGGGTGCTCCTCGCTAACCGACCGGGCTGGTACAACAAACCGGAACTTCAGTTCCTACCATTATTTTATGGCACTGATGACTATTCTGAAGTAGGCTAACGTTAACGATTTACTAACTAGTGCTGTAAATTTAACAGATAATTAACCACGTATGTCCTTAAGACATGAAATATACAAGGTTAGCTGAGGCAACGTTAACGGTCACTTTATTGTTACGTTAGTTGTAATTACCAACATACGTTATCAAGTAATGAACATAACGTTAATTTAGGAATGAAAATAAGTGACATTTATGCTAACGTTAGCTTTAAGAGCTAACAGTCGTGGTAACTTGAATTACAATCACAATAAATGAAGCGTAATTCATTCAGGCTCAGCGTTACTTGATTAAATCGCTATATGTGCGGTAACGTCACCAAAGTGTATCGGTACACTGGTCATGTACTTACTCGACCCAGAGGAGTTTGTATTTGGTCATCTCCTCATCATAAATCAAAGCTGTCCCCATCTTCAGTAATCCTCAGACCAGATCTTGGACTGCAACACATATAGCAACGTTTCTGCAGGGCAACGGTTTCTTCCTGTAAGTTAGCGAAATGTTTCTAATACAAACCGTGCACGGAGTAAATGTGCAACGAGTCAGTGAGTGAGCTTTGACTTTCACCGACAAGTGCACACCATAAACAGATAACAAGAGAAGTCCTTCCTTCTGTATTAACCATGTAAACTACTGAGCATCGGGAGCATAGACACACATACAACGTTACATAGACGCCGCATTGACTGTGGAGGGGCGTGCCTTAAGCGCCGCCATCTTGGTACAGGGCTAGCCGAGGCGGGAGGTAAAAGGTACTCCTTAATCTCAAAGTAGAATTATTCACTGAATTTTCGACTGATTTCCAAACGGTTTGATTTGTTAAAAACGTCACACATGTAGCTATGACACAGCCTGCTTGGATATTTTAAAAATGCCGGTTTTACTACCCAAATACAAATTCTGTTTAGTGTTTTCAGCAGACAATCTTCTGACATAACTGAAAAAGATGCCGGACTTTTGTGCCGCTTATGGATGTTCCAATGAGCGGAGCATAGAAACCAGATCCCGTGGAATCACTTTTCACAGGTAAGGTGTACGTAAGGGATAAAACGTAATAATACGTATTACACAGCTGTTACCAGTTAAATAACTAATTTGAGACACAATTCAAATTAGTTATTTCCAGTTAGAAGATAAATGATAGACTAGTAACGTTACATACCCATTGAGTGCACAGTTGCCCACGTACAGTTTCACATGTTGTGTGTTTGGAATACAGGTCATAGGAAATTGCAGATTAAATAGTCAACTGAACCCGTTGTGAAGAGCAATGTAGGCTATTCAGAGTTTTTGAAAAACGTGGGACAGACAGAATGACTGACAGTTTCCGTGATTATGTACAGCATACCATGCAGTCATACCAAAAATTAGACCCCCCCCCCCCCCCCAAAACATTGGTCCACAGGGGGAGCCACAGCAATCGGTTGCATTCTAGCCATTTTTAAGTATTTTTCTGTTGTTATAGCGCCATCCAGTTGCTAATTAGAGTTAAATTTCTCCAGTCACCTTGAGGCGTCCTGTTCTACATATCTACCAAGTTTAGTAAAAATCGATATGGCGGTTAGGCCTAGATAAGAAATTAGCTCTCTAGCGCCCCCATTTTGTTTGCTCGGGTCAATAATGGAGGGGTCCCCTCAGATTATGTGTGGTCATATGCCTACAAAGTTGCGCAGTGATCAGTGAAACCCTTGAGATGTTATACACCTTTACGTGATGAGCCACGCCCTCCGCAATATTCATTGCCTTATAGAAGCTCAGTTTTAGTAAGTTTTCCAACTTTTGCCAAGAGGGAACTTTAGATATTGGTCCCTAGATTATGTTCACCGAGTTTCATGCAGATCGCTCAAACTTCCTTGGAAGAGATTGATTTTAAGTGTTTTTCAAAAAATTCAAAATGGTGGAAAATCTATATAACTGGAAGTTATGGGTTCTTGAGGCAAATTTGTTCCTCATGAGGAGAGGCATCTCTGTGCAAAGTTTCATGTCTCTATGACATACGGGGCATGAGATATGCCCATTCAAAGTTTACAATTTCAATCGGTTGCTATAGCGCCCCCTTTGGCCAATTGATGTAATATTGCTTCATTTGCATCCTCCCATGACCCTCTACCACTGTGCCAAATTTCACATGGATTGACCAAGTCAGTGAGGAGAAAAACGTGGAACAGACACACACAGACAGAGTTTTCGTCATTATATAGTAAGATATTGGATGTATTTAATAGGTATATGTATTATGTACTTAACCTTAATGTGAAGGATGACAATTCTTTTTTTGTTGTAGACAATTCTTTACAGCTCTGGCTACTTTACTCACATTTTTAAGGTTTCCCAAAGACAGTAGTCTAAAGAGAGAATGGGAACTAGCAGTGAGACGAAAAGGTTTTGTGGCAACTGGGAGGTCCATGCTCTGCAGTGAGCACTTTAAGGCAGATGATTTTGACAGGACAGGGCAGACTGTCCGGCTTAGACATGGAGTTAAACCATCTGTCTTTAACTTCCCATCTCGTCCAAAAAAGGTATGTGTGCCATTTGGCTAAAGAATTCATTCATTCATTCATGTCTATGAGTCATATGTCTGTGTGAGCATTTGATAACAACTTAATGCCACACTTTTCTTTTTCTGTCTGCATGTTTAGGAATAAAATACAGTACACTTTCTGATGCTTAAAACTTTTTTTTTATTATGATTCTTACATTTTAGAAAGTACCACCAAGGACCACAGAAGCTTCGAGGAAAGCTGAAGAGAGCCTGCCAGTGGACTTGCCTCAGCATTTCCATGAAGCTGAACCTCAGTCTAATGTTGTAAGTATTTGATTGTAATATTTCTCACACTCAAATACACATGAGCATACATTAAAACATACTGTAGTTGTTGAATATGTGTCCCTGACACTAAGATGCTCATACCCCAGGGGGGGATGAGATTGATAATGTGGGCCAGCTACATCTGTGAGTGATGAGTTCGAAACATCACTCAATATTTTGATCCCTCTTTCCACTAGGACCACAGTTATGCTTTGCCTGCTTCTCCCACTGCTCTAAAGGCCAGACTTAGTGAAGCTCTGGCTAGAGTGGAGAGTCTGGAGCGCGAGAAGAGGAACAGCATGATCCGGGAGCGAAGGGCGAAGAAAAATGTGGATGCTCTTCTTGAGGATTTGAGGGAGAAGAACTTCATAAATGAAGAGCTGAAAGACAGACTGGAATTCTATTCGGGTAAAATGGAAATACTAATTTGAATATTTTATATATAGGTAGCCTACTTAATGTTTACACTCTGTGTAGACTCCTCCTTCCTTATTATTTAAAGGGGTTTTACTAATTAGTTTGTGTTAACTTAATTTCAGATCTTTGGGTAGACCTCTTGGCCAAAAAGGGCCATGAGTATACCAGAGAGCAGAGGGAATTTGCCCTCACGCTACACTTTCATGGTCCAAAGGCATATAGTTACCTGAGAGAGTCTCAACATCTTCCTCTCCCACATCCCCATACATTGCAACGGTATTCTTCATGTTGCCTAATTGTTAAATACATTAACCACTTTAGTCCTACATACTCTGTTTTGTGACAAACAGTGAAAATTACCGATCTAAAAGCTCACATCAAATCATCACATCACATAGCGCAGTCTGATACATTTTGAGCTTTCAGATATGCTATTTTCTCTCTATAAGGGTTAAAGTGGTTAAATTACTACTTTTTATTTTTAAAAAGGTGGCTGACTTCGGTCACTGCTAAGCCTGGCCTAAATAAGATGATGCTGGACATGCTGGGAAGAAGATGCGAGGAAGACCATGCCATGGCCATAAAAAAAACATGTGCAATGCAATCCCCAAACTCAAACAATGTCAGGGCTTGTGGATATGGGGGATGGATTTAATGAGACAGATGTTGCCTCTTAGGCTCTCGTGTTTATATTTATGCTTATATTTATGTTTATATGTCTATGATCAGGAGCACGAGTCAAGTCAAAGAAATCTTCTATTGGTTTTATGCAGGTTGTCAAACTATTTAATGGTGCATTAGCGCCACCCTCTGGATGGGGTTTGGTACTTACGTCTGCAGAAACCTGTAGTTGATAGAAATTAAATTAATCGCTACGAGCAGCTGACACAAGATTTTGATCTACGTTTTTATATACAGAGCAACCAGTCATCTCTCTCTTTTTCCTGTTTTTTTTTTGTTTACTGTTTGAATGACAATTAAAATAGGTACTGAATGTAAATAGCTTAGCAAATATAACCAAGAATGACTGGATTTGTGACTCTTAATTTCAACCGGAGTTCTCACATACGAACATTTATATGTGCACTGTAATTTGTTTAATAACTGAAAGACAACTGTGAGTTTACATGATCCTTATTTTAATAAAAAAACAACAACAGTGCAAGACAAGTCAATAAACAACTCGGAGAATATGACTCCGTACAAAATATAGAAACAGATCAGATGACATGAGAACATTTGGTCTGGCATCGTCTCTGAGCGCAACAGTGTTTTAGGAGATGGTGGCATCTTTCCTGTGGGAAATGTGCAGATTGGAAGAAGAGAATTACATACATGAACTCATGAATGTTTTTTTGATGAGGATGTTTATTTTGAAAATATTGACCTCTGACACAGTTTCTCCCAGAGTCTGAATTTAGGCCACCTCACTCAGGTTTGTGTCACTTCCCTTCAACAAAATGCTGCTTTATTGTGGGCAAACTTGATCTCCTTGTTCCTCGCTGTGAAAGTACATATGGTTTTCTTATTTCAAGCAGTTATCTGAACAATCATCCCCTCTCCTCTCCTTCTCCCTCTGTCCTATCTGCTGTTTCCTCTTGTGTTCCTGTGGGAAAAGCTGAACTCCTTTCCTCTTTCTCTTCCTGTCCTTCATCTTTCTTCCCCTCCCTTCCCTCTCCTCCTCTTCTACAGGTCGTGCACAACACCAGAAGAGCTCCTCTGCATCTCTTCCTGAATGAGGGGTCGCAGGCAGCGTACAGGAGAGGGTTGAGGCAGGAGTTGAGATAAGCTAAACAGGTGACGTACGGCTGAGCAGCCAGTAAAATCTGATCCAAAGAGCAGGAGTAAGGGACAAAACCAAACTCCAGCAGAAAGGAAACAGTCTTATTAACATGCAGAGGCAGCCAGCACAGGAAGAAGGCCATCACTAAGGTGACGATGACCCTTAGGAGTCTTCGCTGGCGCCTGCGGTCAGGACGAGGGCCCCGTCCAAAATGTCTGCTGAGGAGCTGGGCCAGTGAGCAGTAGCAGACCAAGAGGATGACAAGAGGAAGCAGGAAGCCAATAAGAGTTGATTTAAGACTCAAGGCGGCCGCCCACCACATCTCTGCCCTCTCTCGATCCATCTCCTCCAGCTCTGCGCCAATCAGCATGGAGTAATCCATCTGGCAGGACAGGAAGACTGATCCAGAGTCAGTGGTCGGATGAATTGTCTCCAGCTCCCAGTCATAATCAGATTCAGGGTCCACCTCTCTAACAGAGCGCAGCAGCAGACCAGGAAGTGCCAGCACACCAGCCAGCACCCACACCCCTCCGAGTACCCACAAAGCCCTGCTGGGGCACCTCTGAGGAGTGTGGTGGCTGGAGTGCCGACGCCCAGTCAGAACCCAGTACCGCTCCACACTGAGCATGCTCAGGCTGAAGACGCTGGCGTACATGTTGAGTGCAGTGAGGAAGCTGCTGATCTGGCACAGCGGTTGCCCAAAAGGCCAGTGGTAGCCCATCGCTGTGTAGACGGCCCACAGAGGGAGAGTCACAAGGAAGCAGAGGTCAGCTAACGCTAAGCTGGCTATGAGAGAGTCTGTCAGTGAACGTGAGGGACGAGGGATGGTGGGAGGGTAAGAGGAGGAGGTGGAGGAGTGAGAGGAGGCTCTTTGTCCTGAGGAGGAGCCACAGGTTTCTGTCTTCTTCTGTGGAAACGACCCGTGGTGAAATCTACCAGCGCAACACAGCTGTCCTCCAGTCCTCATTGCTCTCCTGTCACCTCGGTCCAGGTAGGCCCACAGCACCAAGCTGTTGCCGAGGCAACCAACCAGGAAAGCCAGGAGGTAGACTGATGGGATGATGGAGAAGGAGGGAGACCAGTCGCTGTAGTCGCAGTGGAAGAGGGGAGGGGGAGACGGAGAGGAGGGGGTGAGGAAGTCTGCATCTGACATCTGTGCGTCCATCTCCTTGGTTTTCATATAAAATCATGTGCCATTAAAATCATTGGAGGTCCCAGTGTAGTTTTGTCAGAACAATGTCTAGAAACAATAAGTCCAAACTCCTCCTGGTGCAGGTGTTTCTGGGCCCAGATTCCAACAGTGTTTCCAGTGTCCTTATCACCTCCACTTCTTTCTTCGTCTACTGACTCCAATGATCTGGAAATAAAACATAAAGAGATTCTCAAACTTCTGCAGCAGGCACAAATACTGTTAACACCATACATGCACAGCTTGTAACAACAAGGCAAAGATTAGCTTTAGACTTCTTACTTTAGGAGGCCAGGAATTTTGAACTAATCCTCCCAAGAATGCTGTAAACAGACTTTATTTAACACACAAACAACTTAATGTCACCAGTATTTGTAACATGTATGTTTTTGTACATGTTCATATTGTATAGGTCCCATGTGGACAGGTGTTGTTGAAAAGGACATTCTACACTTCTTCTTCCCTCTTACTGTGAGGTGACAAAGCTAACCACTACAGCACCATGCCATCCAGTTTTTCCATGCACCGGCCAGTTTCAGATGTTGGCCTATTTTGCTTCTATAACGTGTCTTCTTTCAGACTAGTGGACAGAAAACACAAAAATTTTAGTTCATTTTTCTGTGGTAATTCATGCAAAAAGTACATACTTAAAAAGATAATGCCTCATTTGGGTATTTAAATGTAAAATTTCAGAAAACTTTTAATACAAAAAAATGACTTTTTTAATGTGAGTAATCCACTGGGGAAGTTTATGGTGATATTCATTCCAAATTTTATCCTATTCACTCATAGTGTCATATTTGGTCTCAAAATGTATGGAGCTTCACAATACAGGTTGTTTTCTCATAATATATTTTTCTTCTCCACTTCAGTAGCTCTTAAACTTTGCAGTTTTATTCCTGTCTATATTCTAAATGTTTTCACAGTGTGATTTATTCATAAATCATTCATAGCCTGATTTTATCTCTAAAAACATGGTGATTTTTTTTTTTTTAAGGCTGTTGAGAGTATTTTCTAAATTTAAAGTGATAAAAAGTGATATTCAAAATTCCTTCTGTAAAAGCCTTTTACTCTATGGGTCAACAAAATGAAACAATATTGAACATGGCTTTATACAATGTTTAGATTTCTGTGATTTGTGTAATTTACATTTAATTAACACATTTGCATATGCTAACATAGAATTTCAGACATCATACAATAAAAAAAAAAAGTTTTAATGTGAGTAATCCATTAGAGAAGTTTCTCTATTGGTTAAAAGTTTTACCCTGTTCACCTGCAGTGTCTCCCCTTAAATTCATTCAGTGAATCTGGATCACATTATTCTATCAAACTGTATGTTTTGCAATTAAACGTTGCATCGTAGCTACCCTACAGCAAGGCCTGGTCTTTAGAGAAATCAATATGAAGTTCACAACAGACACTTACCTCAGGCTACTTCTTCAGTTTGGATGAAATCCTTTCTGAGATGCTATGATGATGATGATCCTTGTGAAGCAAAATTCTGTCTTCTCTCATCTCACTTTCTCTCTGTAACTTCTCTCTTTATCTCTACATCTGTACTGAGCCGGCTGTGGAAAGTGTGTCTCCCTCTAAAGTCTGAATATATATGTCCTCTACACACACCCAGAACCCTCCTTTCTCTTGTTGTGGGACCAGACCACCCCAGCAGACAGTTACGAGACCTGCAAACACCCCCCTGCAACACAAACACACACACCTCCCGGGAGACACAATAACACCACCCATCCTCTCCCCCGCAAACACACAAACCCGAGACACACAAACAGATACACAAACAGATCCCCCACAATCCTCTGGGCTGCTCATATTCTCTATGCACATACAGATCACAAATGTGTGCAAACACTAACACGCTCTTTTGTTGTGTCTCACATGTTCAAACACACACAGTGTATACAGTGGTCAAATGTAACAACCCACACAGAGCACAAACAACCAGCAGCCCCCAAACTCATTGTCAGACCGCATCATCAGAACAGAGGGGTCAATGTATGTGAGGGAGCCTTCATAAATACATTCAAAAGGACCTTTAAACCTTTATTCTGTATAGAACTGCTGTACTGTAAATAAGAAAAATACAGACACTCATAGCTGTGTTATCTCTGCTTGTGAGGAGGCTGCCGGCTCACAGTGAAGACATCTATTAATGACAATCAGACCATTGACTTCAGTACTGTACTTAAGTACAATTTTGAGGTACTTTACTTGTGTATTTCCATTTATGCTTCTTTATACTTCCACTCCACTACATTTTAAAGGGAGATTATTGAACTTTATATGTCATAACCTTTGTGTCATTGGTCATAGTTAAAGCTCTAGCAGCAATATTCTATTAGAGCTTTACTCATTTTGGAGTTATTTCTTATTACTCTAACCTGCAGATGTATTCATTAATATATGTGATGCTGGGGCAATTTGCAAATACAGGCAAAGGTATTATGGCTAGTAGGGCGCCCATTAAAGTATGGACATCTTATCAGAGTAACTGTTTTGACATGTGGACAGTGAGTGGACTATAAACTTACTAGCTTGTTGATGAGTAGACGTCTTATTAAAGTCCCCATGTTATGCTAAATTTCAGGTTCATACTTGTATTTGGGTTTCTACTAGAACATGTTTACATACTTGAACGTTAAAACACAACACATTCCAATTCCGACCTCATCACTTATCATTGCTTGGTCGTGGACTTGGTCATACACTAGCTGTGTATGGAGACCCCACTGATGTCTGGTTAACTGTCTCGCAACAGTCTTGTCCCCATCAGCGGCTCCTTACATGTCAACTGTGACAAGTCTCTCTCTTTAAAAATTTTAAAGCAGAAAAAGTGTTTTGCATTGATCTTACATCCATATGCAAATCCAGATTTGAATTTGAAAATTTGATGTTGTTAGTAAAGTCTCTAGACATTGGAGTCTTTTCATTTCCGAAAAAAACGTTGGTCTTTTACAGCGTTATGTTCATATAATAGTATATTTTTGAGAGCAATGGTGGAAATTCAAACCAGAGACACTGAAGTTTTATCCCACAAGCCCCAATGAGATAATGTTATGTTACTACATATAATAAATAACAGTATTTCTATAAAAACTTAATCTCAGTTCTTAAAATGAGCTACATCTGCAAGGCAAAATAATAAGAGCAGTTTCAGATTTTATTTTTGTAATTTTAAAGCTATTTCAAGCTGTTATATCTAATCTTATTTATTGGATGGATGGATGGATGGATACTGTAGGTCAGCCTGGGGTTACAGTGTAATCAGTGAAAATTTTCCAGTGGTAAACAGGAAGTGTTTGTTTCCCCAGGGGCAGGGGTCATGCTGTCATCAACTTGTTGTCATGGAAACAGATGTTTCAAAAACATTCCAGTCTTTTCTCTCACAGAAACGTGGCGGTGAACACACACACACAAAGCTTTACTCACCGGGAAGCAAAGAAAGGCAGAATAAATACAACTGTTTCATTGAGAAGAAAACTGTAGGCTGAACATCACAGCGGGAAACAATGGAAGAGGGAGTCACTGCAGTGTGGCACAACAGGGTTTGACTACAGAGCTGTACGACAGGACAGACTTTGAAATACCATGTAAAGATAAATCTCATTGATCCCCCGTTTATTCCTCCAGCTCCACCATGAAGTTGATATGTTTGGATTTTGAGTGAAATGTCCCAACAACTATTTCCATAATTGCCATGAAAGTGCTTGTGCCAGTCTGCCTGCTCACCTGAAATCACTAATCAGCCCCAGCAGTGCAAATACACCGGCTCTGCAATCCAGTCTACCTTGCGGTACTAGCTATGGCCTGTTTGTTGCTTATTGTTTTTTTCCTCTTGGATTTTTTTGCCTAAACCTTGTTTCTCTCACACTCAATGGTCACCCATTTATCTGCTCAGCCTGCCTGCCCTGTTTCCCCAGTGCCCTGGATCAACCCAAGACACCCCTTCTTGCTTTATTGGAAAAAAATCAACTATAAACTGAACAGCTGTCTGAGTCATGCTTTTGGGTCATGTTCTCTCTATACTATACAACAGTACAGGACATAAACAGGATTAAAATGCCCTTTCTTCCAGACCCCAGTGTGAACATACAAATGCATGAACAAGAGAATAGAAAGAACTACAAAAAGTAAATACTAAATTTAAGTAATACAATTACAGTTAAAGACAGCACACATTAAAAAACACACAAGCAGCATCAAGTATAAAATGTAGTGAATGATTACAGTGCAAAAAGAATAAAGCGTGCAAATGTAATGCAAAACAGCTTAGTAGATGTGGAGGAATGTAAAAATATGCAAGAGGTTGGTCGCAGTAACAGTCTGAGTTATTTGGAGTTGGAGAGAGGGAGGAGTTCAGCATCCTGACAGCCTGCTGTATGAAGCTGCGTCACAGTCCCAGCTGGAGCCAGCTGCCAGAAGGCAGGAGACTGAAGAAGGTGTGTAAGGCCGGGAGCCAGGTCCAGCTTCATGATGTTTTCTGCTACATTTATTTCATTACTATTTCCTGTTAGCCTTTACCTTGGGCCATCACAAGTTGATAACGAGCACCCCCAACTTAGGGCTGTTTGATCTCAGGGGGCCCAAAACCCTTTTTCTGGGACAAGTTGCTGGGGAAATGATGTAAATGCAAATATTAGGGCACTGCAATGGCATTAATAGTCATACAAGTATGAAATTTGGCAAAGAGTATCCTGACAATAATTTATTAACTAAAAGACAGTTTATTTCTATTGTGATATGTTTAGCTAACCTTTCTTCTACACCTATGAAGAGTCTGTGGCACAGATGAGAAGCTGTAACCTCTGAGTTCATCTGACATCCATGCAATGAGGCTTGAATGAAAGATCTGAAATATTAAACATATTAAATGACTGTAATGGCCTTGATGTTGCCTTTTTCCACAGCTGACTTGTCGTTGTAGGGAAATTACGTGTTATTTATTAATGTCTTACAGGAACACTTAGTGTAAATGGAACAAGAGTCATCACTCATGTTATCAGATATTAGTCAAATGTCTGCTGTGAGAAAGACCTTGTGTGTGTGTGTGTGTGTGTGTGTGTGTGTGTGTGTGTGTGTGCGCGCTTATAAACTCTTGTTGATTGATATTTCCCTCACTCTTTGGTTCAGTTTTGTTTTCAGTGCTCAGAGTTTGGTGGCATAATATGATCACATCATCCCTGCATAACGTCAACCTGAAAAGAGGTCAGCTCAGTCAGAATTACTCATCTTTGTAGGTGTGCATGACAGGCCTGTGATGGCTTTTCACACACAGCAATAGTTTGCCTGCTTGTAAAGGGAAGAAGATAAGAATTTGCATAATATGCCTGGGATGAAATGAGGCACACATGAGACAAAGTCCTCACAGCAGGACCACGTTTCAAAGGGATTAAATGCACTGTAGAGACCGCACGATTCGTCATGATCTTCTATAGAATGGATCAAATGCTCATCTGGGTTCTTGTCATCATGATGGCGGCAGCAGAGGTGCAGGAAAAACTCTCACCCGAGTGTAAACAGTTCCTGTACATGGGCACGCTGCCTCGAGGGCTCGAGGAGCAGCCTTTAAAAAAGATCTGCCAGGTCTATAGGGGCAGCCCACGATTTGTCACCCTGTACGACACCATCAGCCACATCCCGGTTTATTCTGCGTACACCTTCAAGCGTTCGGACGGCTTCAAGAAGGTCGATGTGCCGTGGATGTATGAGCCACAGGTAGGTTGGATGTTTACAGAGGAAAATCTGGAAACATTCTTTGGCAACCAGTCTTAATTTATTTTAATAATGACCGTGTTCATCCTGACAGCTGTCCACAGTGTCTGACTCAGGCGAGATGCAACAGTTCCCTTCAGAAAACGTCCACAAGAGCTTTGAGGATGCTCAGGCCGTGCTTGATGACTACTCTGACAGTGTAATGTTTGAACGTGGTCAGCTGAACCCAGACGAGCACCAGGCCGACCCTGACGACAAAGCATCCACTTACACCCTGACAAACGTGGTCCCCCAGGTCCGAGAGTTCAACATCGGTCCCTGGAAACACCACGAGCACACCATCCGCAGGAGGCTCAACAACTACTGCCGTGGCACCGCCTATGTGGTCACTGGGATCACTACCTCCGGGCACACAATCCGACGCCACAACATCAACCGCCTGGGCATCCCCACCTACCTCTGGTCGGCCTACTGCTGCACCGATTTTGACCACAATGCACCGTATTCTGAGCGCTCAAAGTTTCCTGCATTTGCAGCTCATGGGCTCAACGACAGGGAGGATAACAAGGTTCAGGAGATGACAGTGCAGCAGCTGGAGGACTTCCTGAAGAGGGTAACTTATGTCGGCAGCTCTTTCCAGATCTTCTATGACAATTGTGTGCCTCCTAATAGTGCTAATAGTGCCCTGCACCTGCCTTGAGAAGATGGAGATGGGTCCTTCTGATTTAGTATAGATTGATATTTACACCAGTGTCAATAACATTCAACAATTAATAGTTAAAAAAAGAATCATTTTAATTAACATATACTTTAATTTATTCTGAATTTTGCAGTTTTCTGGGGTACATAAAACTTGTTGCTCACATGTTTCAATTTGATTTACATTATCCAATTTAATGCACCATGTTTGCGAATTAAAATGTTAGTCACACAACTACTACTCCGACTTTTGTTATGATTGGACTGATCTTTACTTATTTTACCCAGTATTAACTCAGTGTAGCAAAATAATCTCAGTTAAAAGGTCAATTTACGAGCTTTTCTGAGCTCCAGTCACCGAAGAATATCTGAGGTATGGGTGGATTATGAGACAACGGGCCTCTAGGCACAGATATGAAAAAGGGCTCCACCACCTTTCCTACATATAAGCAAGACACACAGGCTTTGTGGTGCTTTTGCCTCTTATGTTGTTGTTGTTGTTGTATTTTGTCTCTTTAGCCTCTTTTACACTGCCTGTTCAAGGTTGGAATATCATGTCGTTATGTTGTCTCACAGTTATGTATGTACGATGTAGGTTTGATAGTGGAATGGGGTGACAGAGTTGTCTCGGCTTTAAGCTGCAAAGGGAGGTCGTAACAGCACCAAAACAGTGTCTGTGTAACAGCAGCCAGCAGGAAGTGACCCTGGGCAGGATAGGTATAATGTTCTGACAACATTTTATGCGTGCCACCCATTGCCAGGATATTTAAAAGGTAGCTGCTAGCAGTTAGCAGCTAACTAGACACACAGACTTTGTGGTGGTTGTGTGTCTTTTTGTAGTCATTATGCATATTTTTGGTGGTTTTGCCTTCCTTGGTGGTCATTTTGTGTCTCCTTGTGGTAGTTTCATGTCTTTTTGTAGCTGTTTGGGCCTTTTTGATGTAATTTTGTTTCTCCTTGTGTTTGGTTTGTGCCTTTTTTTGGTTGTTTTGCCTGTTTTGTAGTTATTTGGTGTCTCTTTGGAGCTCCTCTACATCTCTTTGTGGTCTTTTTGTTTCTCTTTGTGGTCATTTTGAGAATCTTCTTGGTTGATATGTGTTGATTTGGGTGACATTTTGCAAGATAAGGCCACTTTAGGTCCCTCAGCCTGTGCCATGTAAGCCCATTCAATAATCCACCCATGATCTGAAGATGTAGTTGAAAGCTAAAAAAAAATATTTGAAGCCTTAAGCATTCATTTTATTACATATACTGTCCAAAAAGGTAAAGATTGATCCCTTATAGTGTTGTCAAAAATACATATTTATTAATACATATCGATTCGGAATATTTGAAACGCTTTCAATATTCATTACCCGCAGTATCAAAACATCAGTACCAGTTGTACTTCACCAATCTTTTTTTATTGTTAATGTTTACTGCAGTCATTCTGCTGACCTACAAGATGTTGTCGACATGTTATACCCTTGTTATATTTATCTTTTAATTTTTTTACCCTCAATGTCAATTCTTTACTGTGATATCACAAATGGTAATAAATATCGATATTTTGAGATATTATATTGTTAGTTAGAAAAATCAGCACTTTGTAACTTAAGTACATTTTAAAACTTCACAAATTCCCCAATATTAATTACAACTTTAATTATGTTGTATTTGATGGTACATTAAGCAGCTTTTGCTTTGCATAAACTCACGATGGAAAACCCATAACCCTACATGGTTGTACTATCCTTCCACTTTATCTCATGTTAACTTATCCACTTAATGACTGTGAGCTACACCTGCCTCTGCAGGCCTTTTGTTCAGCACAGACTGATTAGACCAACAGTTTTACATTTTCACACACAGCCTCCACTACTGAGCACTTATGAAGAGACACCCAAGACAAATTCAGGACAAACTGAGCCAAATTCTTATTTCGCATTTTAGTTTTTTGATCGTATACATCAAGTGTGAAGATTAATTTAAACATCTGAAGGGACAAATATGAAACAGGAAGGTTTTGGGTCGGCCCACAGGAAATTTTGAGCGTCAAACACTTAATTTCCTGCATTCTGGTATTTTTTTCTACACCAAATTAAGATGGAAATGTATTTAATTTAATCAAAAATTAAAGTCCTCTGCATTTTCAATGGATGACAAATGCACGTTCTAAATATTGAGTGGGAACATGTGCCATGCATCCCCCTCCAAAATCTACACCTATGCTATACATACTATATAAAGAATATTCACACATACAAGTAGAGAGTTTTAACTTGTCAATAAATAATATGAATTTGTGTTTCCCTGCTAATCATAATAGAAAACATAAATAACTTGCATTTCTTTCAGTGTCATCTCTGAATTTTTTGTAATAATGCTCAAACTGTGCTATTAAATGTGAACTACAAAACCAAAATTAAGGTTAAATAAAGTGGAATATATAAATAAAAATGATAATCTTTCTTCCTTTTTGTGACTTTGTGCATAAGTATTATCTGTCAGACTCTGGTCGACCTCTTTGGTTCAGCTGGTCACAGCTGCTATAAACAGCATCAAAACATAAAAAAAAACAGGAAAATGATCCAAAACTGGGAGGGCAGACACAGCCCCAGGGTGACTGATGTGATTAGTAACCGCATTTAGTGTGAGAGGAGAGCTGCATCCTGCCAGCTGGCTGAGGCCACAGAGCCAGATGGTCAGCTCCACTGTTTTGACCAGCAGCAGACTGAAAAGAGCCCAAAATACATTTCACATCCTTAATTGGACGTACTCCTCGCTTTGACGGCCAGCAGAGGGAGACAGTGTTTATGTAATCTTTGTGTAGAAAAGACAAAAGTGGAACAATCTTCTGTTCTGATTAACATAAAGATGGAAAGAGGTGTCTTCATTTCATTCACCAAAAAACCCTTATGCAAATAAAGAAGCAGGATATTGACAATACCTGTGTCGTAATAAAAGACAATCACAGAGGGACTATAAACTCAACATTTTTAATTTCTCCAAGTGTTTTTTTTCCTTAATTCACTCATTCAGGTCAAAGTTAAAAAAAAAAATTCATATTTCTGTGCAAAGAGGTCATGCTGAGCACCCTGTGCATGACACAGCAGCACCCTGAATGCACAGTCTATTTTAATCATTGTCAAAGTTTGCTGAATCATTGCAGCACAGAAAAACTTTAGAGCAAGTAAAAACCTTTTTTTTAAAAAAAAAAAAAAAAAAAAGTTGAATAATGATAAATCGTTGCTCTTTGTACTTCAAAGAAATAACCTTTTGGCTCCACACAGAACCCACTCGCTCTCTCGCTCTCTCTCTCTCACACACATATTACACTTAAAAACACTCACAACAGTAAGTAGCCACAGTAGACAGGCGCTTTGCAGCCTGCAGCAGCAGCAGTCCAGTTTGTGATAGAGTGTGTTTTGGTCTCAGTTGAACCAGGTGGTGTTGAGCTGCGTCTGTTTCTTGATGCTCGTGTCCAGCTTGAGGACCTCTCGGATTGCCATGGTAGCGTAGGTCGAGGGAGGCAGCGAGAACTCCAGCCGCAGAGCCCGATACTTCCCCTCTGTCGGAGGAAGGAGAAACATACTGTATAAGAGCGCGTACAAAGATGGATGTCAAAAGACAAATCTTTGCATTAAAATAAGACTGGTCCTTTTTCACAGTACATCTCCTGGAACAGGAATGACCAAACTATGGCCCATAGACCAACTGCGGCCTGCTGCCTGTTTTAAAATGGCCCAGACGTAGATAAACTTTTTGTTATAAGTGGACACATCAATTCTCTACTATACTGTCTATCGTCAAACTGTTTAGTAGTGTTTTGTTGTAGTTTTGACATATATTTGAAATCAATTTTCTATGGCAAGTGGGCTTTTCCTGTGTAGAAACACTGATTTTCTTGTCATTTAACTGGTTGAAAACAATGCATTTACTATTGTTTGGCCTCTGAATCCCAATATTTTTCTGTAAAAGGGCCCACAATCCAAAAAGTCGGGCCAACCCTGTCCTAGAAAAAAAAAATATAGGGCTAAATAAAATTGTACCAAAATTTTTAATTAAATTAAATAATAATAATCAACAGAGCACTGCTACAATCCTGCTAATTAACAAATCTAATCAATATGAGACTTAATATACGGTTCTTCTTCACCTGTAATCTCCTGGATGCAAAATATCCACAAAGCAGGTCCAAAGATTTGTCCAGTGTATTCCCACCTTTCACACACCAAACAATCCTAACAGGAACTTACCTTTGTTGAAGACAGGAGCAGGTTTGTTCTCCAGTTTCTCAAAGTCACTGTGCACCAGGGAGATCCTGGGGTCATCATACTGAATCACCTCCCTGCAAGAAACAGACAGAAATACAACAACACACACTGAGTTAGAGGCAGTTAGAGGAATTGTAATATTACAGGATAATTAGAGTAAGGCATTCAAAAAACTGCAGTACACAATAACAGATTCTGTAATACAATATGGTTTGTATTACAGCATAAATGGCTTCGTACAGCAGTGTTAATAAATAATATATTGGTATTTAATCTGCTGCTGACCAGCTGACATCACTGGGTCTGATGATGATGCGTCTGTAAGCTCCAGCCAGAGAGTAGTCCTTCACTTTGTGTCTCATGTTGTCGATGTCCAACCCGTCTGCAGTGAGCAGCTCCCTGTAACCTTTACCCACTGACACAAAGACACAAGCACTAGAGTCAATAACATCCTCAGAACAAACTTCCCTTATATATTTTTATGCAGCTTAGTTTAATTCTGTTTATCCATTTAAGGTGATGTAGTTTAAAAGCCCTGCTCTGTGTGTGTGTGTGTGTGTTAAAGGGTGTCACGTGTCACATGCTAGTGTTAAAACCACCCTATGTTATTTTTCACAGCTGTTTTTTCATGTAATGTGCCAATGAAGGAACTCTAAATCACACAGAGCCACTTCTTACCGTGATGAGAGGGGTAGATGACATCGAACCCAGGAAGTGGCATCACAATGTCATGGATGGGGCAGCTCTCAGCCTCCTCGGCAGACAACACGTGTGCTGTGGCTTCATGAACACATCAGAAACAACATCAGTTGGCAGCATTTTCCTTGAATCTCATGATATTACAGTACAAGTACATTTCCCATGACCAATATGAGTAAGTTATTGGTTGGAAAGTTGTTGTTTTTTTTCTATATTTTTTATCTTATAAACTGACTATTTGGAAATGCTATGATTTGGTCGCTTTAACTTCTGGTGACACAGGACTTACAAAATAATCTGCATTGTAATTTCCTGTTCTTTAAAGCTACACTTATAGCCATAGTTTGACTTGAGTTAGATAAAATGACAGATACCACTCTCAATATGAAGCTGCGGCTCAAAACATTAAGTGTAAAAATAAATATTTGTCATTTTTCAGGTGAGAAAGCAAATAAACATATTTCCTAAAATGTCAAAGTATGTCTCTAATATTCATCATTAGCTAGCTGATTACAAAGTGAACTTCTTACTTCCTCTGAGCACCAGGTCGCCCTCCACAGCCTTTAAGCCAAAGGCCTCGATTCTCCGGCTCACCATGGTGTTCCACACCACGCTCTGGTAGCTGTGGATGTACATCAGACGGTTGTTACGAGGGATCTGGAAAAAGAACAAACAACAGGAATCAGAAAGAGCAGATGTAAATGAATTGTCAGTAAACATGACGTTCATCCACAGAGGGTGCACTCAGCCGTATGCAGATGACATGGTATGTAGACTGATGCACATAATGTGGAACCAATTTTACAAGCACGAGTTCTGCCTGGAAACTTGAAGCCATATATCATTAGCAACATACACTGGGGCTGGCACATGAAGCGTACTGGTGTGTGAGCCAGTCACACTCTGGCAAGCGCAAATGAAATTCTGGCTCTGGAAAATCTGTCTGCAGGTTTCTGATAAGCTACAGCTACATACTACAGATACATACAGTGTAATACAGCAGAGTTTAAAATGTTTCTTATTTCTATAATTAAAATAATTTACATAAGTTGCAACCAGGTATAATGTTACCTCGGTCCTGAATGCACATCGAACCATGACCTTTGTGTACTGTTAGATCCCTAATCATTTGCATCATTCATAAAAACCAACCAGTCCAAAGGCAGTGACGATGTCCTTCTTGCCGTACATGGACAGGCCTCGCAGCAGCTGCCCTTCCACACAGCGCTTGTTGGGCAGCTTCTTCAGGGCTGCCTCTGGGTCCTGAGTCTTTGCCCACTCCTCCCTGCAGCGAACCAGGAATTCTTTCTCCGCTGAAGAAAGGCAGTAAATTTGTAAGAAGGTTTGAAATACAGTACAGGCCAAAAGTTTGGACACACCTTCTCATTCAATGCATTTTCTTTATTTTCATGACTATTTACATTGTAGATTCTCACTGAAGGCATCAAAACTATGAATGAACACATGTGGAGTTATGTACTTAACAAAAAAGGTGAAATAACTGAAAACATGTTTTATATTCTAGTTTCTTCAAAATAGCCACCCTTTGCTCTGATTACTGCTTTGCACACTCTTGGCATTCTCTCCATGAGCTTCAAGAGGTAGTCACCTGAAATGGTTTTCCAACAGTCTTGAAGGAGTTCCCAGAGGTGTTTAGCACTTATTGGCCCCTTTGCCTTCACTCTGCGGTCCAGCTCACCCCAAACCATCTCGATTGGGTTCAGGTCCGGTGACTGTGGAGGCCAGGTCATCTGCCGCAGCACTCCATCACTCTCCTTCTTGGTCAAATAGCCCTTACACAGCCTGGAGGTGTGTTTGGGGTCATTGTCCTGTTGAAAAATAAATGATCGTCCAACTAAACGCAAACCGGATGGGATGGCATGTCGCTGCAGGATGCTGTGGTAGCCATGCTGGTTCAGTGTGCCTTCAATTTTGAATAAATCCCCAACAGTGTCACCAGCAAAACACCCCCACACCATCACACCTCCTCCTCCATGCTTCACAGTGGGAACCAGGCATGTGGAATCCATCCGTTCACCTTTTCTGCGTCTCACAAAGACACGGCGGTTGGAACCGAAGATCTCAAATTTGGACTCATCAGACCAAAGCACAGATTTCCACTGGTCTAATGTCCATTCCTTGTGTTTCTTGGCCCAAACAAATCTCTTCTGCTTGTTGCCTCTCCTTAGCAGTGGTTTCCTAGCAGCTATTTGACCATGAAGGCCTGATTGGCGCAGTCTCCTCTTAACAGTTGTTCTAGAGATGGGTCTGCTGCTAGAACTCTGTGTGGCATTCATCTGGTCTCTGATCTGAGCTGCTGTTAACTTGCGATTTCTGAGGCTGGTGACTCGGATGAACTTATCCTCAGAAGCAGAGGTGACTCTTGGTCTTCCTTTCCTGGGTCAGTCCTCATGTGTGCCAGTTTCGTTGTAGCGCTTGATGGTTTTTGCGACTCCACTTGGGGACACATTTAAAGTTTTTGCAATTTTCCGGACTGACTGACCTTCATTTCTTAAAGTAATGATGGCCACTCGTTTTTCTTTAGTTAGCTGATTGGTTCTTGCCATAATATGAATTTTAACAGTTATCCAATAGGGCTGTCGGCTGTGTATTAACCTGACTTCTGCACAACACAACTGATGGTCCCAACCCCATTGATAAAGCAAGAAATTCCACTAATTAACCCTGATAAGGCACACCTGTGAAGTGGAAACCATTTCAGGTGACTACCTCTTGAAGCTCATCGAGAGAATGGCAAGAGTGTGCAAAGCAGTAATCAGAGCAAAGGGTGGCTATTTTGAAGAAACTAGAATATAAAACATGTTTTCAGTTATTTCACCTTTTTTTGTTAAGTACATAACTCCACATGTGTTCATTCATAGTTTTGATGCCTTCAGTGAGAATCTACAATGTAAATAGTCATGAAAATAAAGAAAACGCATTGAATGAGAAGGTGTGTCCAAACTTTTGGCCTGTACTGTACTTTTGCCACCACTTTAAATGTGGAGGGAAAAAGTGTGACCTACCTCCAGGCCGGGGCTTCAGAATTAAATCCACCACCTCTTTCCAGTCATTTTTCAAAATAGCCCTGCACCAAACACACAAGACATAAATTATGTGATGTCATAAACATTATTCATGTCGATACCTCCATGTCATGACCTTACCTGCCAACTTGTTGTGTAGGCACAGCTGTGGTGCCAAAGCGCTGCATGCCATAGTAGTTGATGAAACCTGTCTGCCTGAGGGAAGTCATGGCCTGATGGACCTGCTCATCTGTCCCTGAGATGTTCCTGATGTACAAATAAATCAAGAAAATAAAGAGTAATGAGAAGTACTGTGTCATGTAGCACTGGTGACAAGACCAGACATAGAATGCCTGAACAACTTTAGCAGTGTTTTCCAAAAAATGAAGGCTAAAACATAAAAACAAAAGAAGCACTAGATAAAAGGAATGTGAAGTGTAACATGCTAAAAGACTCAAACTGAGGGACCAGTTTTTTTTTTTATCAAATGGTGAGTCGTAGTATTGTAGACCTTTCATGATTATAAAAGATGATTTTTGAGGACTAGACTATGGACAAATCTGAACATGATCCTGCAAATATCCTGCTCATACGCAGTTAAAATGAAGGTTTGCACTACAAAAGATAAGGTGTGAGGATGGGATGGAAAGCTGCAACATTATTTTCTGGACTTAATCTGGGAAAATGTAAAATATATTAGACGAAATGTATGACAAAGCGCAAGACTGGGGCTATAATGTATAAATAACAACAGTAATTGAAAGGTCCACATCCCCAACATCTACTGACCTGATGACCACAGTGAAGTGGTTTCCCTGCAGCTCTCCCAGCTTCAGTGGGTGGTTTTTGTAGCAAAAGTTTCCCAGCTTGAGGTTCATGAGGCACTTGTTGAGGTGAGCCAACCTCTCTGCTGTGATCCTGAGGGGGACAGGGAAAAGGTTTCCTTATTTGCTAATCCTGTACAACAAGCCGATCCGCCAGAGATCATCTGCCTCAAAACATCAGAAACACCTCCAGCACTGACAAAATGCAATATGTACCACCTCTTTAAAATCATTCACAGCCAATTAAAATAAATGCACAGCAATTAATGTTCTGATTGTTAAAGCGTTACACACTCACTTGTGCACTGCGATCTCCTGCACAGTGATGGCTCTCTTGTCCTTGGTTCCCATGTAGGAAAACATGTTGGGTCTGAGCCTGGAAAAACATCATTATTGTAATGATATTTTATCAAGCAAACAGACAGTGTCTGGTATTAAATGATGATCATTTTTAAAGTGCTGCACTCAGACCTGAGGAACTTCGAAAGCACATTGATAGCGTCCATGGTGTCCTTGTTCTCCTTGTAGAGCACAAAGTGGCAGAAACTGCCACGGTTTTTGGGCCAGAAGTGTTTCCTTGGAGCTTTTATGGACACAGAAAAAAGGGTTGTACTGAAATACAGAGTAGAAGATGTTGAGCTAATTCATTTATAAATTCAAAAATACAAATCACTTTAAAGATTTAACAGAGTTAACAGAGTTTTACTTCTACCTGGTTGCCTGTAAAAAACTACTTTGTGATTGCAAGAAAAAATTGGCTACAAATTTAAAGGAACAGTGTGTAAGATTAAGGGGAATTTAGTGGCACCCAGAGGTGTGGACTGCACATTGCAAGCAGCTGAAACTCTTCCTGGTTAGATCTCATTCAGTGGCCGAATTATCCAGAGAGGTCTCTTCCTCTCCGAACAAACGGACCAGGTGATTTAAACCAATTAAAACAGTGAATGAAGCAGTTTCATGCCACATATCAGTGTTTCTACTGACAAACATACTTACTATATTACATTTCTGCCAGTATGTCCCCTTAAATCCTACACACTGGACCATTAAAATATTATTACAAAACCAAAAGGCATTTCAACCACATTTAGTAACCGAAACCTAACTCCATGTGGGTTTAACCACTTCCTCTGTGCTGTGTGGAGAATAGGTTCTTACCTGAAGCTGCTTTGACCTCTATCCACCAGAGAAGAGCAAAAGGAGGATAGAATAATGTTACTAAGAAAGAGATGTTTAACGACTGTGGGGCGAGTTGTCAGGGATGAGATCTCATGCATGGGCCTGAGAGTGGAGTGTGGTATTAAAATGATTTATGCAACGAGGGTGCAGGACTTTTAATTTTCTGTTCAGGGCACCACTATGCTGAATCTCCTGCACTTTCCTTATGGTCTTTTAAAGCGTTCATTCTGACCAAACTGACTTAAAATCTAGAAATCAGCATTCCATTGAACCAAATATCTGCTTGTTTAATAACCACTGTGACTGAAGATCGGAGCAGAATCATGCACGTGTCTTGATCATGCACACACATGATTGCATGCAACATATTTAATGCGAAATTCACATGCACTGTTGCAGACAAGCTGAAGGTAAACATGCAATAAATCCTTCCTCTGATCACTAAGTGATTTACTGGTCATGATTTCTGTCCAGACTGATTATAAACTGACATCTGGTTCTGTCTCCTCTCCACACACCTGCTAGAGCTTTCTTCCCAGCAGCATGGTATGCCACAATGAACTTGCGTCCTTCCTTTTCTTCCGTCTTTGTCTCCAGGCCAGGAAATTGAGTCTTGATGGCTTTGTGGACCAGCGTCCTCTTCTCTTTTGTATCATCCATCACCTGCAGATGTTAAAAAAAGGAGTAAGGTCAGTAGAGTTGGCTCAATTTCTAGTTTTGTCCGTCTGGTTCAGTCTACAGGCTTAAACTGGTTTGATTTTATGCAAACCAGCTGAACTGACATTTGTGTTGATAAAACTTTTTGGCAAACTAAAAGCAGCCTACATCATCGAACTGTGCCAACGGTATCACGATGCTGTATGTAGTTTGTTTACATGACATAACAGAAGTGCACATATAAAGGATTCAATGTTGCCAGAGTGATTATGTTCCACTTGTGAGCAGCTGCTGAGTCAGGTGCGGCGCCTGGCTCAATATCAAACCAGTCTGAAAATTTCTACACCGTCCGAACACTCAAGGACACCGAGTAAAACTTCAGAAAGAGTTTTAAATTACTATCGATCATAAAGTGATCCGAGAAGTATAAACTCACCTCAATAGAGACGTTGTCCTCTTTGTTCTTGAAGAGCTGCAGCTCTCCAAGCTGCTTTTTCTGCTCTTCAGTCAGCACTTCAGATTCCTCTGGCTGCGGTTGAGCCTCTGGGGCTTCCTAAATTAGAAGAAAACACAAAACATGTGTAACTTAATGTGACAGCTGCTTTTTTACAAATTGTTCCTTTAATATCTGTTTTGCTTACAGTATCAGTATCGCAGTTATAGTCATTTTTATCCCCGTGTGTGTGTATACTGAATTTAAGACTCGCTTAGATTAATCTCTGACTGAGTTCAACAAGAAATAATAGCACATTTTAAATGCTGACTGGTACACCCTTACAGTTACCATGTAGAGTTAGCCATATTAGTAAAATGTTAGTAATAGTATGATAGAAAAGTAAAACTGGTGACTGAAATTTAATCCAATATCTTACCTCAGCCTCTGCAGGGATAGAGAGGTCATCTAAATGCACTATCTTTCCTTGTTTGTTGATTTCATGCACCACGAAATCAGAATATCTGAAAACAAACCACAATATATCTGTTAAACAAACCAAACTAAAACAAGTTATGCAAACTATTAGATAACTCTAGCGGACAAACCTTTCCTTAAGGATCCCTGAGAAGCCCTCGTGGTCACTGACATACTTCAGGATGCCCACATCCAACTCAGTGAGGCCATGCTTCATCATATCAGCAAAGGTGTCACTTTCCTCCTCTCCATCACTGGCTTCGCCCTCGGGCTCTTCCTCCTCAGCTTGTTGGGGAGGGCCTCCATTCTTGTGATCTTTCTCGACTCTGGGTTTCTTTGATGGCGTGTCTTCCTCTTCCTCCTCTGGACAGCCTCTCTTTTCTCCAACCTGGACAGGGACAGGCTCAGACTCTGCCATCAGAGCCAAGCTGTGACAACAGAGGGAGAAGAACTGTGTTGGAGTTCAAACAGAGCCAGAAGATACAACCATTGGTATTTCAAAATTGCTCACTCTGTATCATGTCTTGCAAGAAAATAACCTTCAGACTGGGCTCAGAAAAAAACTTTTCTTTTTTAAATAATACGTATTTTACTAGGCAGAGTATGAGAATTAACTGGGGCATCCAGATGAACACAAAACATTACATTAAAATACAACATTAGAGTTACATGGTCAACATTTTAAACCACTCATCCATCAGGATACCCTGACACAACAAATCTCTACAGGCATGGGTGAAGTATAACAAAAGTTACTACTGAGTCGCACTGCAGGAAATAGAGTATCCATCTTGTATTTGCCAAGGTTCAATACCAACATGGGTACCTGCTACTTAAAGATTGTGTGGTGCCATGCCATGAATAGGAACAAGTCACATTTGCACATTACAATTTTAAGTAAACACAAAAAAGAGGCTCAAACTCAGAAGTGTAAGCTTACCATCCTGGGTAAAAGCTGTATGGAGTTTCTTAAATGTCTCACTTGCAGTTATTTTAGTATGTATGATGTCACCAAGACTCCTGCATCCTTGTTATCTTTATACCAAGGACCACAATGTAAATACTCCCCTTCAGCAGGAGGCTGCATTCCATTAGGACCAAAACCGCACATAACAACAGTTTTTTTCCCCCGACTGCAGCTGGCTCCATGAACCAGTCCTCCCCATAGACACTACACGTTACATCACGTCTTAATATCTCTCTATATGCATTACCTTGATGCACATCTTTGAGACTATAGCAGGGTGTAAGATGCAGACAAGAACCGCGTACATAGAACGCTATAACCAGGTGGCTGGCATAGTGTACAGGAACATCTGCACTGAGTATGGGCTGGAAGTCTCAAGGTCAGTGGTTGAGAATGAACAAGCCAAGATTCTGTGGGACTTCCAGATCCAGACTGACAAACTGGTGATAGCTAACCAAGTGGACATCGTGTTGAACGACAAACAACAGAAGAAGGCAGGGGTGATCGATGTAGCAATCCCGAGCGACAGCAACATCAGGAAGAAGGAACACGAGAAGCTGGAAAAATACCAAGGGCTGAAAGAGGAGCTAAGAAATATGTGGGGAGTAAAGGCAACAGTGGTGCCAGTGGTAGTCTGAGCACTCTGGGCTGAGATCCACAATATACACAATGTACATCTCTGTATAATTTACACTGCAGACTTTTTATACTCATATGGTACTTCTTACTGCTTATTTTTATACATTTCTGCACAAACTACCACCTTTCAAAACTGCACAGCTCATTCATTTCAATTAAGATCTACAAAACATATTTCAATAGTACATATTTTAATACACTCAACTAGGGACTACAACACATAATACCTCAGCTTCAGCTGCATCAGCTCTGACCTTTTGCAAGCCTCTCAACCTTGTGACGGTGCAACCCTAAATCACTGGAGCACTAAAACACTCCTGTGAAGTTAACATTACCCATGAATGTCATTTCGGTATAAAGCATCTAGTGTAACACACCATAGTAACATGTTACAGCGGCTATACTATCCAAGCAGTAATCTAAATTGCTGCACCAGAGTCAGTTCACAACACAGAACAATACCGTTAATATTGTATTTCAGTGGCCTAGAAAACGATGCTACTGACTTACTGGTTGTGGAGCTGAGGTGGCAGAAAGCAGATGTGAGTCTGGGAAACACGTCTCGTCTCCCAGCTGCCAAACACTTGCAGTGACTTCTTAACGGACCCGAGTTTGACGCAGGCACTGTAAAGACATAATGAACACACTGCTGACCACTCTAAAGTTAGCAAAGCCGCTAGCACATACGCATTGTCATCAACTAGCTAACATCACTGGCTAAGGTTAGCATTTCTAGCAGCAAAGCTACGCTAAGGGGTTGGGGTGAATAAAGCGAAAACGCTTGAGCTCCTAGCTAAAAGTGTTACATAACTTACCGGCGTCTGATGATATTCAGAAGAGTACGGGCAGCATTGGATGCCAGCTTTTCACACGTGTGTGTTTGTGTGTGTGGCTAGTTCCGGAAACAGATTGTACCTTAAAGCCCGCCCACTTCAAACGATTGGTTTAGGGACCTGTCAATCATAGAGTTAGTTTGACTCACAGATTCACAACCGTTATGATCACAACTCGACAGCAAAATAATGAATTAAAAAATAAAAAATCGTAATGTTCTTAACTCGACAGCAGAATAATAAAACAAGTTAAATAATAGTAATAAAAAACTTAACGGCTAAAAACTGTTAGCTAAACATGTTAAACGTTGAAAACCACTTGCGCGCTCGTCTCCTGCAAACCTGCCGTTGTCATGGCAACTCACATAGAACCTCAGTTTGACAGTTATAGTAATGTTGTTTATAATATGGAGACATAAGGAGCTACGTTACTGAACATGGCGGCTGTCTTCACACGATAATAACATTACCAGACCAGAAAACAGGTAGGTAGGATTTAGTTTGTGTGATTAAAAATTGAAAAAAGAAGAAAAAGAAAACTATTTGAAAACCTGTTATCATTGTGAAGCCATTTAGGTCTCATGCGGTACTGAATATTAGCAATAATAATACCTATCACCGGCGCCGTGGCTTAGTTGGTTAAAGCGCCTGTCTAGTAAACAGGAGATCCTGGGTTCGAATCCCAGCGGTGCCTTTTCACTAATACTGCCCTGTATTGCACACACTGTTCAGAGAGGAGAGGACAGTGGTGCATATCGGGTTAAAATTAATACATGACACCTATGCAAAGGGAAGTTGTATAAACAGTCCTTCATGACTGGGGCAAAAGCATCGAACATACAACCTGTGGGCCAGAACTACCTGCCAAAGGAACCCATCCAGCACACAAGGTAAACTGATTTCAGGAGCAACTTATACAATTTGTTGCATATTCTGTGTAAAATGCTGCGTCAGAGGCTTTTCCACACTGACCAGAATACAGTTCTCTGCTGTTACAGTGAATACTTACTGTGACCATGTTAAAGGATATTAAACATTTTACAAAATATTGTCAATCAGCAGCTCTAGTCCAAAAGAATCTGTATTAGGAAATGTATGGATAAATGCACATGTACTGACAGTGAGAAGTAGACTGACTGAATGTGGAGTAAACTGAGACATACTGTTGAAATTCTTGAAATCTTATTTTTCTTAGGTTATTATGCAATGGTTTTATTGGTCTGGCCCATCTGAGATCAAACCAGGCTGTATGTGGCCCATGAACTGAAATGAGTTTGACATCCCTGCCATAAAGTTGGAGCACTGCAACACGTATATCAACTATCTTGTGACCTATCATATATCTCTAGCATTCCTTATTTGTATTTCAGAATTTGTAATGCTGCCTCTTTAGGTCAGACTTTTTAATGCTGCTCCTCTTTGTCAGTGAACGTTTGCCTGTTTTTGACACAGTGAATTACAGTGGAGCTGCAATGATTAGTCCAGTGGTTGATTGACAATGAGTCAGCAACTCATTTGGTAATCGATTCATCTTTTTAGTAATTTTTGAAGCTAAAATTTCAAACAATTACTGATTAAAGCTCAGATGTGATATTGCTGCTGGATACTTTAGGGGTTTAGACTGTTGGTCAAATAAAGCAAGCAATTTGAATGCATCATCTTGGGCTTTGGGAAATTATAACCTCACATTTTGTAAATTAACCTAATCAATTAATCAACAGATTAATTAAGTTTTTATTTGTGTCGGGACAATACATGCATGATGACATACTAGTACCCATCATAATAGTGTGCACTGGGGCCCGTCATAACATCCTCACATTACTGTTTTTACATCATATCCAACTCCTAATTTCAGTAAATCCATCTATGCCACTGAGGCTTATTCACTGTTTTATAATACAGACTAAGGTCTGAGTCTAATGTACAAATGTGCAGTAAACAGGCCTGACTAAAAATCTTTCGCCCTTGTAATTTTCAGTTTCACCACATGAGGGCAGCAGAGTAACACTGTTATTTAGCTGCTAGACAGGATTTTTTTTTTTAACTTGTCTGGATACATGTATGACACATGATGTCCAAATATGGTCATCTGGGTGTGGTGGGAAGCTGTAAATACTTCACATATCCTGTTACAGTAAACTGATTATTTTGATGCCATGGTAACCTCAGCAAAGTCCAACTGTAGTGCCAACAAAGGTGGTAAAGCTCTACATATATTTATAAGTCATCTGTTACTGATGAACATTTTGATAAAGCAGGAAATGGATGACTGAGAATCTTCACCGACAAAGCAGGAAACTAATTTCTGGTTTTGATACTACTTGTAATCATTGTTAGAAAGTAACTCAGTGCATTTGTACTTATTTCCATTTTCTGCTCCTTAATACTTCTACTTCACCTCAATATACCAGCAAATATTGTATTTTTTTTACTTAATCATGATAACTTCAGTTACTAGTTACTTTAGGCTACATGTTCACATAAATAATACAAAATATATTCAACCAGTAAATCATGTTGTATCATTATAGGTCAGGGTTTGGCAACCTTTACTATCCAAAGAGCCATTTTTGGCCAAAAAATGTGCAGCCGCAAAACATATATGAGGCTTTAATGGTGTATTAAATCTAAATTAGCCTACACTATTAGTCTATATGAGCATTCATTCATGTTTTACCGCAGGGTGGCTTCTCTGCAGGGCACTATTTATGATTATTGGGTATTTTAACTTTGCAGAGCTGCCAGTAAAAGCAGACAAATCTGTTCATGCACTACTAAACTCCCTAAGACTTTTCCTTTTTTGGATTTGGCATCCATAGCTAACCAGCTAGGGAGAGTCAAGAAAAGCCACTGCTATCTAGGTTTGGCAAAATTTCAAGAAAAAGATGCCAGGCAGTCGATGTGTTACACATATTTTAGTTGTTGAAATGTTAAAACATTTTTTTATTTGGTATATGTTAAGATATGGGTGGATTACTGAACGGGCCTACTGGGCACAGGCCCAGGATGGTGGGGCCCTTTGCATATCTGTGCTCAGGGGCGTCTTATAATCCACCCATGGGTTAAAACAAAACTTTATTGATTTGCAGGAGCAGATTCACAAGCTAGTGTATAAAGTAACTAAAATAAGCTCCACCTTTACCGGCTGCAACATTAGTAACGTGCACACTGATGCATCAACTGTGATGATCAAATAATATATGTGATTCTTAAATGAACTATTCTTTGTACTTTTACTTTTGGTACTTAAAGTGCATTTGATGTCAATACTATCTACTTTTATTTAAATAAAATTTTGAATGCAGAACTTTTACTTGTATACTAATATTTCTACACTGTGGTATTATCACTTTTCGTTGAGTAAAAGTTTGCAGTACTTCTACATACACTCCTTGTCATGAAAGGTTTTTAAAAACATGAGGCAGGGTTTTTTTTTGACATAATAAAGGTTTAAATTTTAGACTGTGACATTTACTTGGATTTTAATTAGCATACAATAATTCTGACTGTGATATAATTACCTGTAGTTTGATTACTGCCCTATTTTAGAGGCAGCAATAGCACAGTCCATGGGGGCTTGGCTTGGGAACCAGAGGGTTGCCGCTCAAGTCCCCATCCAGACCAAGCATGGAGTGTGGACTGGTAGCTGGAGAGGTGCCAGGTTGCCTCCTGAGCACTGCTGGGCACCCCTGAGCAGGCCTGCAAGCCCCAAACTGCTCAGGGTGCCCATTCATGGGCAGCCCCCTCACTCTGACATCTTTCCATTTAATGCATGTATAAGTCTTGTTTGTGCATGTGTGTGTATTTCAGGCCTGTGTGTATGAATTCCCCCTCTGGGACTGGTAAAGTATATCTTCTTCCTCTTTTTGTGACCTTTTCACACTGCCTGTCACTCTTGAGTCAACACTGTGTGTGTTCTGTCACGTACCAGTCAGGAGACGTGTGTCCCCCCAGTGGCTCAAATGAAACACTACACCTATTCAAAGCCACTGACATAAATATACAGACACTGGACTCAGCCAGTCTGGGTGTTGGTCAGACACACTAATCCTCATGAGCACATGTTGGAATAGATAAGTGTTTATCACATATGGGTTTATCACACTCTACTCATACTGTTGACTTCATAATTACTGGTATGAGCTGCATATTTGGGGACATTTATGGTGCTCAGAATGATAGTGATTATTCGTTTAGTTGATCTTTTCAGTCATTCTCTCAGAGTGAATCATTCCCTGTTTTGCTGCAGGCTCCCAGAGCCACTGAAGGCCCCACATGGGACTTTAAAGTCCACTTTATTCACTGAGTCAGACCAGGAGAATGCAAGTGAAAGCATTAATCCCTGTGTCTCTTTACCCTTTATATACTAAGCAGCTTACACCTCTGTATTAATGCTTCTGATTATGCACATGCATTTGATTTTCCTACAGTTACAGTCCTGTTTACATTCTGGTTATTCTTGTGCAATAACTATTTTTTTTTTTTACTTTATTTGTTGTGTTTTATCCTTATATCTAAACTTGCACTATTTTGGACCGCATATGATAAATAAATAACTTGAAACCGTGGAGCCTAAACGTCGAATGCACATAAGTCACAAAGAGAAAATATAAACTAACAGAACGACACAGGTGAAGGAGAGATGAGGCGTGGGGGTTTTGCAGAAGTATCAGGTGGTTATTCTTGGCATTTTGCACATAAAGTGAACTGAACAATACGCAGGAAGATAAGCTTTGTTGCCTTTTGCATTTCATGCAGTCTGTCTGTGTGAGTTGGTGTCAGACACAATAGCTGCTGGTAGATTGCATCATCAGCTAATTGTGACCCAGGAGATACCCTCTTCTGGCAGGCGAGTGAGAGGGGCAACCACATGTGTGTGTGTGTGTGTGTGTGTGTGTGCAACTGAAAACCCACTGCCTCTGCTGCTGCTGCTGATTCTGCCGCTGCTGCAATCACCTGCAATCCTTTCAACGCCTCGCCACTCCTGCTGGTTGCCTGGAGACGGGGTCGCCTAGGCCACAAAGCTATAATGATACCGGGAAAGGATGAGGAAGAGAAAGATGGAGATGCAAAGAGA